AATGAAGGTGATAATCTGCTGTAGTTCATTCTAGAACAATAATAACAGCCTAAATAGTAAAAATAGTCTGTGACGACGGATATTTTTTTCACTTCAAATGACCATAAGAAAAGAGCATAGCTTTCTTAAATTTTAGCAAGGAAACTTGGACTTGAACCTATCTATAGTAATTAAACAACTGAAAGTCATATTTATATCTCATTCCAAGGCCTATGCAATAAATCAAACAACTATCATATGTTAGCTGAAGCGAAATATCCCGAAATTGCCTTCTCGAGCAAAACAAGAAATGTTTTTACTGAAATAACTTTTGAAAAAAACAGGTGAAAGATATTTCATTCAAATCTGCGCTAACGATTTCAAAGCTTAGTGAAAAGAAAAATGTGGCAGTAAGAAAGTAAGAATAGAACTTCCTTCTTGTTACTCGAACAATGGTAGTGATATATGGTATATGGTGGTATATGTGGTATATGGTATATGGTAGTATAACAATGGTATATGGTAGTTCAATGTCACGCTTTATTTTTTCTTATATAATTTTTTATTACTCTTATATACACTCATATGAAGGTGAAGTATTGGAGAGGTTAAAAAGTGATGAAGTAGGCAGAAAGTAGAAGAAGTTATGAGTAGTTGACAGAAACGTCACAGTAATTAGCATAAATAACGCATTGAAGCTTTTGCGCTGTCAGGAAATATAGGAGTAAAGTTATGAGTGTTTCGTTGAATTTGCGGAAGAAATTTGCAATTAGAATTTGGATTCCCGGAAAATGTTATGCAAATACTGAAGAACTAACTGCTTGGTGGCAATTTCTTTTTAATTAAAAAATGCAAAAAAATTTTTCGTTCAATTAGAAAAATTGGATAGCATTGCCTAGCCAATGGTAGTAGGATAGGAGAGAAATAGGAAAGAACTTGAAAAAAGAAGCTATAAACTTGTTTTATTGAATCATACATTTTCATTTGTAACAAATCTGACTTTAAAAAAAATTTTTGTTCAATTTGAAAATTTTCGATGTGCTATTATTCATTATAATAAAGATTTTGAGAGAAAGGAAAGACTTAAATTTCCTTCTGATTCCTTCGGGAACGGTAAAAATTGATTATTTGAATTATAAAAGAGATTGAAAGCATTTTGGGCGATACAACAATTTGAGGGAATAGGAGAATGTGGGCATATAGTGAAGGTAAATTTGATTGAGATATTAAAATTTGAAAAGTCTCGAAAAAGTATTATTTGTGAAAATCTATTTCGGGAAGAAAAAAAGCCTCCAAATTGTTAATCTACTGGAAATCAAGTTTATAGTTATGGTACCTAACAGAATGTTTCATAGAAATCGATTCTCTACGATCTGCTTACTATTCGATGATGAACAATTCGAATAGTTCTTCATTTCATTTCACATTTCATGAAGCGCACTAATCGGGATGGATAAAGTGGATTCGTTTTCTCCAGCTAATGCAAATCAGCAATGGTACCGGAAAAAGAAAAATATTATGAATTCCTATAGATGTCCACGAATATGTACCACTCTTTCACCATTCGAACGAGAGCTTCCACTGGTTTTTCATTTGTTAATTTTGGTCGATCAATTTCAAGAAAAAATTGAGAGAGAAAAAAACAAAATGTTTGGTGATAAATTAAATTGAATTTTTATTCACTTCTGCATTATTCAAATGTTGAATGGATTAATTCAAATACATAAACCAAAACAAATACATCTTTATATCATTACTTCATTTTGAAGAGAAGCAATACGGTTACATTTCAAGTTGGTTCAATTGACACCCCTTAAGCTTCGTTGCTTATTTTTTGTGTATATACATCCATGCTATAGATACATCTGTTTTATGTTTGCTAGTATGACAATGAAATGTCCGCCATTCACTCACTGATGATGCATTTTAAACAGCTTCATTTGAAATGAATACGAATAAGCTGGACTGCTAGCAAGATTGGGGAAATTCACGCTGCTTAAAGATGCAAAGAAAGATGAGCCTATCCTTCAACATTAGTTTAAAAAAAATAATTTTTCGATCCATCCTACGTCAACGTCTTTCCTGGCATAGTTTATAAAGAATTGACCCGCACATGTTCAATAGTGCAATAGTTCAGCTAATTCAAACATTGATTGTATCTATTGACAACACAGTTTTCACTATTGACAATTGATTTCAATCATATTGCTTTATAAAAAATTAGGACATATAACCACCGTGAACTACTTTGAAGGTATACTTTCCCATCTTTCTTATGGTTATGACAGCGAAACATGTCACTTAAGGTACAAAGTTATTTCATATATTTTAGTGTAAAATTCAAACTTATAAAAATTAGAAAAAGATAATTTGAACAAAGAAACAAAAGTAAATTAAAATAATTATCATCTAAATTTAACAATCTAACTCACTTTTAAGTTTGAATTTCACACATCCCTTTACAGTAAAAACTTCATTCTCAATATGATAAACTATCATGCCAAAAAGGAAACACAGGACAGGTGTAAAAACTTCTTTGTTGGAAGAATACCACCGACAGCGTGGGACACCCTTTCCATCATTATCACTGATACATCTCGAACATTTCTCACTTTTGCGCTTAAAAATCAAATATTTCCACCGTTAAATTCATCTCTCTTAACATTTCAGTTGAATTAATCAATTCCAAATTTCAATATGCAAAATAAAAACAACTAAACAAACTATAGATCCGAGCACTATTAGGAGATTCTTGAACATTCTCAAAAAAACTTGTTTTACTCGGGATCCAGTAAGAACCAATTCTTAGAAACATTTCACTGCTGGGAAAAGAAAGTCGGGAATACGGAAAACAGATAAAAGAAGCGGTTGCAAAACAAGTTCAAGCTTGAATTAATTGTGTAGCTCTTCCTTCTCCATTTCTTGGTGATATCTATCGAATGTTGCATTTTCAAATATCAGTGATATCTTGTGAAAACTGAATTATTTCTCGTCGTGTGGGATAACCGGATCAGCATACTACACTGTGCTAGGGGTATTATCATATTAAACACCTGCAAAATCCCCAGTAACTAAGCCGCAGAATCCTCGTCCACAACGCAGGCTATACTGAAAAACTCGCCGGGAAGGAGGTAAGAGGGAAGGGAATTATTGACCGCTCCCCAATGCACGTACGCATCGTTTCCTCTAGATCAAAAACTGCAGCCAAAAAGTGGAATGTCCCCCGAAATCATCCGCCTTGACCTCTTCAAATGGCTAACACAATGAATTAAAATAGGTCCAAAATTTTTACATTTTCTAGCTAGAAATTAGGCCAGATTCCTTGGGTCAAATGGTATGCCTCATAACATAAACATAATCCAAAATAGGCTAAGCTAACTGTAGGCACTATTTCATATGAATTTATGAGACGATCCCTGTAAGAATTGCTATGTGAGGCGGAGTCAAAGATGTCGATGTTCCCTCGGAATCATCCGCCCTGAATTCCTCAATCAATGCGATCTTAATTTAAGTACCACACGTCTGAAATTCCTACTTTACGTCATTTAGGTAAACCTTACGTGTAATTATTTGAAAAAATCTACAAATATTATCTAACTTCTCTTTGTGACCTTTAATATTTCATTAATTTTCCGAGCGCTATTTCACATGCTCATTTATTATACGATCCCTATAGGTGGTTGGTTGTATAACTGTCTGGTGGCACACATACATACACACACACGTACTTGCCTGCCATTTGTCCTCTTCGCATACTGCTTGGGAGGTCGGGTCGTATAGTTCAGGATGGGGATATAGTTGATGCTGTTGTATGTCTGTGTGTATGTGTGTGTCTGTGTATGTGTGTATGTGTCTGTCTCCGTCCATCTATCCATCTACGTGTTCTGAAGATTTATTTGTATGTCGTGCTGTCATCATGTTGATTAGTTATTGTATATGTGTGTGTATATGTGTATATATGTATGTATATATATATACATGTGTATATGTGTGCATATGTGCATGTGTATATTACTTTGTTGTCGGAATAACTCATTTCTGTGATAGTTTAACATCATCCTCGCTTGCTTTCTCGTTGCTCTGTGAAGTGTTTGCAGCCGGCGGATATATCTTTTAAATCTTATTTTATCATTTTTAGGCAAAGAATGGTAATTTGTCCATCCGGGAGTAGGTTCCTATACAGAAATTGTAGGGAGGGAAGTTCAATAAAATGAGCATTATGCCCTATTTTCGATTAGCATATGAGACAAATCGGTTAGGTTATAAATCGATTAGGTTACATAGGTTATTGTCAACTATGTTTTCGACAGATTTTTTGAACTCTTATTCTTCTATTCATGTTGTTATTATTATTTTCTTTTATCAACTGTGGATCAGTTTTACATGTAGTTTTTTTTGGTTAGCTTTTAGGATTCATCATTTAACTTGTCATTTCCACGTAGCATTTTAGTTTAAAAATTCTCTGATGGTTAACCTTTATTTATTTACAATGTGTTTTTGCATATGCCACAACACTAAGACATTACATTGGAACTCTCTGTGTCTTTTCCCCTCTTCCGTCTTCCTTTTTTTGATACATCTCGTCAAATGAAATCTCTGGCGGTCCATTATATCCCATCCGTAGCATCTAATGTAATATTTGCCTGCAACCGTAGTATTAATGTGTAAGAAATGAGTCTCTTCTAAAATAGAGAGCGATGTAATAAAGCCCTTATATTCTGCCTTTCCATGACAGTTAAGATTATATGGGAATATATATATTGGTTGTATTTCAACTGCGGGAAAAGGTAATGAACCCTTTAAGGTAGCATTCATTTCAGGTGAAGCTAAGGAGCTTGCTTTCGTTTCCAAAGAAAGTTCCACGAAGCGACCAACTCTCTTGTCGTTTTGGGTATAATTCGTTGACGTTCATTTCTTTAACTCTTAATTGTGTGTTTATTGTTCAGCTGAATTGGTGGACAGTGACACTGCTGTGTTTATTGTTAGTCGATTAAAAGTATTCAAAACACACACTTATTGAAATGGCAGAAAACAAAGATGAACTTGTCCAGCGCGCCAAACTTGCCGAACAGGTAACTTATGGTCATTATTTGTGTAGGAAAATATAATATTCTGTGCTCATATGCTGACGAAGTTGAAAATAGTTTGTAAAAAGCAAATTCCTATTAATGCAATAAGTACCCAAATTGTCTGCATTCTTGTCATCATTAAAAAACTAAATTGTATGGCGTTCATGGCAGACTGCAATACTACAATATTAATTAATCATGCGATAAAAAATTGAACATGTAAAGAACAGTTGCTTACTCCATAGGCCGAGCGATACGACGACATGGCTCAGTCAATGAAGCGAGTCACGGAATTGGGTGCAGAACTTTCCAATGAGGAACGTAATTTGCTCTCCGTTGCCTACAAGGTTAGCAAATTTCTCCCAGTTCTGATCATTTTGTTTATATTTTTTCAGTTCATTTCGCAAAGGTGTAATACTTTAATATGACATTAAATTGGGTCTGGTTTTTAACGGAATTAAAGTGAACCTACAGGAACATCAAATAATGTTTGGTTGTTCCATACAGTCAGAAGATGAAGGGAGTTATCATCGACATTCAACAACAGTTGAATCATGAATAGATGGAAGTTATAATAGAGATGCTTGCGATAATGCAGAAGGAAGAAGAGAGGAGGAGCAGAGTAGGAGGAGAGAGAGGACAGAGGCAGATCGCTGTGTTAGATAATGGGAATCTCTTTAGCGGTTTACTGGATACCTTGGTGAACGCATCAAATGGCATATCGATTATTATAGTAGTTACTCAGTGAGCTCGATTGAATTCGTACGGCGCCTTTCTGACCCTTCAGAGCACATGTACTGTCTTTCTTGAGGCCTAAGTTGTGTTCGATGCGCGTCGCCTATGGCGTTGCGTTGTGTACTAACAGTATAGACATTGTCAATTGATTGTTATGCAAGGAACGAGTCTCTTATACAGCAAAATATATGATGTGTCTTGTTTGTTGATGTCAAAAGCTTTTGATGAACTTTTGACGTGTTTGCAACAAGATAAAAATAGAATTTATGGAGGAAAGACATAGCAGTCGTAACTGACAATTGTTCCGCACTGGCTTTAAGCTCACTTTCAATAAAATCAGTACATATGAAAAAAAAAAAAGATCATTTGATATATAGGAAATAAAGCATGTATGCGTTTCAGAATGTAGTCGGGGCGCGACGCTCGTCATGGCGGGTGATATCATCGATTGAACAGAAGACCGAAGGCTCAGAGAAGAAGCAGCAGATGGCAAAAGAATATCGCGAAAAGGTTGAGAAAGAGCTGCGAGATATTTGTCAAGATGTTTTGGTAAGTCTTCGTCTAAAGAAGCCTGAATAGAAAACTCATATGTTGTATTGCAAATTTGTATGCACTTTGAAAATGTTTTCGATTACCGTTAGCATGAAAGTTTAAAAGGGCTGATTTATGGAGCGTTGATTTAAGTCTGTACGATAGGGCATCTATTTCAGAACCTTCTGGACAAATACCTCATTCCGAAAGCAGGTAACCCTGAGTCGAAGGTGTTCTACTTGAAAATGAAGGGTGATTACTACCGATATCTGGCCGAAGTTGCAAGTGGAGATGATCGCAACGGTAAACATAGCTTGTAATTATGTAATTTAATATTTTGGGTCTTAGTAATTGGCAGTATTGACTGAAACTCAAAAAACACAAGGCAAAATTGTTTACATGGACGGCTTGTAGTGAACAGTTTTAGTTCACGGTGCTCCAATGATTCAAGCATCGTAGTTGAACTATCAAAATAATTGGGAATAAAATAGTTGCATGAAGATTTTTTTGTATTAGGTGTTATGGCTTGAACTTTCTAATCCGTGGCTCAGAAAGGCGCTGGGTATGCTCTCAAAATTTTCTCCGGGAAAGTGTTGGGGTGTACGTTTTAAGACGGTTTTCGTTCTTTGAGAATATGCGCCTGTTTTCCATGCTGAGGAATAGAAGAGTTGAAGTTTGAGTTTGTTGCTCTGACCGGTGGTTCTCTGTTCTATTTAGTGGTAGTGGAGAAGTCACAGCAGTCCTACCAGGAAGCATTCGATATCGCGAAGGACAAAATGCAGCCCACACATCCGATCCGGCTTGGGCTTGCACTCAATTTTTCGGTATTCTACTACGAGATACTGAATGCACCAGACAAGGCCTGTCAACTTGCTAAACAGGTGCGTGAAGACGGGTTCATTTTATATTATTGCCACTCGAATGGTTGGTTTATGTTTGTTTCAGCGGTGGCGGATGCGGGTCAGAAAGCCTACTCGGAGGCACTTGAGATTGCCAAGGCACAACTTTCGACTACCCATCCAGTTCGTTTGGGCCTCGCTCTAAATTATAGTGTCTTCTTCTACGAGATTTCATCGAGCCCCGATCGTGCATGTCAACTCGCCAAACAGGTGGGCCGGATCCTGTAAAGTGCCGGTCGGCGAAACATTAAATGTTCCGATTTATTTTCGGCCGACACTTGACAAATACGTATTGCTGCTGTCTGAGGCTCTCTTTGCAACTCTCCCACATTTATATTACCATTGATAACTTCTTTCCAATTGCTATGCAGAAAATTGAGCACTACAGATGGAAATTTTCGAAAAAATATTGTTTGGTTGCCGTCCCAAATGCCGCTGAGTTGGGCGGGTGATAGTTGGTCAGGAGCCTCAACGATACCATGTTCACAACCCGTTAGCAATCAATTTTTCAATTAAAAAAAAAAATGGGAATCGAGCCTTATTTCGTTAGGAGCCTTATTTCGGTTGTGCATCGTATATTTGGTTTTGGCTAAGCTCTTCGTGAATTGGTAATTTGCTCATAGGTCCATGGAATCCACCATCTTGGGTACATAGCAAAGTTGTGTTGAGGGCCTCAAAGCACATCCAATAATCGCTTCTGCTTCCGAAAATGCATGTGTGGGTATGTGAATTAACACAGAGCTGCAGTAGGTTTTCTGGTCTTCCTAATAAAAGTTTTCTGCAATCTCATTTCAAAGTCGATTTGAAGTCTGACATGCCAGTTTAGTACAGTAAAATTTAGCAAGACTCCTCTTTGAAGTACCCAAATACTTCCTACTAGCTATTTATTCTGAAGGAGCGGGAAGGAATTTCGATTTTGGAGACTTAAAGAAAGATGTAGGGTACAGAATTTTTATGTTGCTTACCAGTTTCGACTACCTAATCACCATGGTGATCAATTAGTTTGCATATCTTCAAGGATTATATCCTTTGTACATGTTATATGAGTAATGTATCGTTTTTCTCCTTTTTTTTTCGCAATGCGTTTTGATTTAAAAATTAGAAGCCTAGATAGATAGAGCATTCAGAAATTTAAAAGATTTTAAGATGTGAATATGTGAGTGTGCGAGTGTTAACATCCATGCATGCGCTTTTTCTCATAGCTGCATTTTTCTTTTTTCAATTTTTTTGTCTTCCTCTGGGCTTATTCATCATTGATTTACCATTTGGTGTTTCCATGGAGGGAATTCAGTTATTTAAATTGGTTAGTATTAGTGTCGTCAATTGTTTATCTTCCTGAATTGGGCAAGATCCAATTAGATCTATGTTCAAGTTGTGGATAGTCTTCATAAAGAAGTGCTGATGGCAACTTAGGTGCCATCCGTTGGTTTTGGCAGTCCTCCTATAAATTTAAGAACAGAATTTTTGAAGGAATATTGTCCAGTTATAATTTATATATTTATATTTATTAGTGTTTCATTGCTTCATTTCTGTTTTATTTCTCCCCTCGATTTTTTCAATTTCAACCAGATGCAGTGATGGGTATAAGTTGGTTGGTGCTATTTCGATATCTAATTGGAATATCTATTTTTGAAATTTGATGAAGCACCCTTATTTTCCCAGTTTGAGTTTAGTGAAAAAATCACTTTCGTTGCTAAGATGTCTCAATTTTACTACAAGGGTTATGCCCCCATTCGTGACAATAACCCATCATTGATATGAGCAGGTATCATTTTCATTACTTATATTTGACTGAATTTTTTCTACAGGCATTTGACGATGCTATTGCTGAATTGGACACCCTGAATGAGGATTCCTACAAAGACAGCACATTAATCATGCAGCTCCTTCGTGACAACCTTACGCTGTGGACATCGGACACTGGAGCGGACGATCAGGAAGGTGGTGAGCAAGCGGGTGAAGCAGGTGGCAATTAAGCAGCAAGGGCAGGAGAAGCCGAATGAATGAACTAAGGCCACGTTGTCGCGCTGTCTTTTCCATATGATCGTTTTTTATGTTTTTTTTTTTTGAACTTGTTTTTTGGTTTGATGAATAATTATAAGTTTCCACTTGTTTTGCGTAAAACAATCAGTTTCATCCATAATATGTGTTAAAAACATATGTATTTTTCCATCTACAGGTAACTGTTTTTTGTCGACAGGTCAAGGCCTTTTATGATACACTGCGGTATTTTTGAGCTTTTTGGAAGTTTTGAAAGACAGCTGTTTGCGTGTTTTTATTTCACGATACTCAGGAAAAGCAGGATAGAGAAGTTTGACCATTCGAAAATTAATTATTTCTCGGATATTTGTGTCACCCAATTGTTTCTCTTTACTTATTTTGAATATAAGGAAGTTAGCATCATCCTTTTGCTTGGATTCATAATTGCCCTTATTTACTATAGAGTTTACATGAACTGAATTTGAATATATCCTTAGTAAAAGTTTACCGAAGGCACCATTGGCGAGGGGGGGGAACCATATCTTCGGTTTGGAGAATGTCTAATTGCCCGTTTTTTGTCAATACTAGTTTTAACTTTAAATTTTATGTTTCAAAAGTCCCACTCGTAACAATCTGTGTAACAATTATCTTTTGACGTTATGGTGTATCCTATTGCATTTTTGCTTCCTGTCTTGGGATTGACCGTTAAAATTGTCGCCTATTTGTTAACTGGAATTCGCATATTAATCCGCGAAGTGAACAAGAAAGTACCATCTACATGCGGGGGTTGAAATCAAAGTGAAGTTGTCGCTCGTGCAAATTTTTGCTTGTTTTTGGTTGTCTTTGTTTGTTCGTATAAATTTCAGGAAATGTTTGTTTCGGAGTATTCCGCAAGACCGGACACAATGACTTCTATCATCTTCACATCGGATGCATATAGTGTTCCTTTAGATGGAATAGCAGTAACATTCTGCTGGATTTGGCGTTGAAGATATTTGAAGTTTCTTTGGCTGAAAGGTATTCATCCACCGTGTAGGGCTCCATTCGTTCTAATCGTTCTTGTTTTTGGTTTACCGAGGGATTTAATCTGGACGATTTCGATATCGATTTCTTCGTAAATACTTGACATTTTAGCCTTCTGCTTTTAATTGAATAAATTCATCCAATATAATAAATTAAGTTGTGTCCTTCGATTATGTTATTTCTTCAGCTGCAATGGAAGAGACATTCTTGCATGTTATTCCTGCTTGATTACAACAGCGGGGTAAGAGGGGCGCTGTAGAAAAAAGTCAGGCATCGTACATAGGATGCAAAGAGAGATTCCGAGATTGCGTGATTCTTTCCGTTTATGCTGTCTAAATATAAGATCCGTGCGGCACATGATTCTGATTTTAAAAAATTCACCACTTTTAAATCGGATTTTCAAACCATACGGGTGAAATATCAGGAAATTGTCAGTGATGAGGTGATGATACAGGGGATAATATCGAATAGCAGAAAGAACAAACGATAAATTTCGTGATTTCATGTAATGACTGATGTGTCAATCAGTTGTTATGCTACAGCGATTTCGGAAGAACTTCCATTTTCGTCTTCAAGGATTTGCAATCTCTATCAAGAGTAACAGTAACACTGTAATATTTTTATAGGAAAAGTGAAATGATGTGAGAATCAGACACATGATTTAAACTGTTACTTTCGGTAAAGATTCATTATGACTATATAATGATCTATTAATGTTCTCAAGAAATAATGGAAAGCATCAACAAAACGTGATGAAAATATAGTTCACGGAATTAGATCGAATAGCCTAATGTATTTCTTATCGTTTATTGATGTGTTCTTATCATACTTTAAAGCATCTGACATTAGCTTTTTATTGAGAGTCGCTTGGAAGTTTTTAAAATGAAATGCTTTTATCAAAACTACACGAGACACTTTATTAACCAAATTCTTTATTAGTATTGTTTTTTCCTAATATTATTTTGTCCTTTCAACAAAATACTTATTGGAAGACTGAAATTCATGCTTGAAATTAATGTATTATAATAATTAAAGAAATATAAGAAAATATTCTATGTAAATAGGTTACGCTGATTAAGATTAACATATTTAAATGTATGGTATTGTAAATAGTATTCATGCACATTTGATTAGGTTGAATTTTTACTAAGCTTTCTGCAATTAAAATCTATGGAAAATATCCGTAATTTTTTGCTAAAATAACTAAACCTGAAAGATTATACATAATTAGATTACTATTGTATTTATGAAATTTACACCGAGTATTATTAGCACATTGATGATGTATTATTGTGTTTCTTCCTATCAATATTCTCTCATCTTAGTACCAGCTTTTTCCAGGTCATTCGGCTGGTTTCTCTGGGATTTTAAGGTTATTGAAAAAATATTAACACTATTTGTATCTTCAAATATGGAATTGGTTACGAATTTTTATTGGCAAGAAATTTCTTGTTTTGTGAGTTTTCCCGAGTAGAATGCAAGACGACGAGGCATCAAGGAATGCACTCATCATTGTTCGTGCATTTTTTTTTTTAGTCTTCTAAATTTCAACTTTATTTCTCTTCTCAAGATTATGAAATTGGCATCATCAATTTTCTATAGTAATTGGTTTATCAATCTGCGATATACTACTCAATCGTCTGTTCGCATTTCCCTCCAGTGATATTCATTGAGAAATTTCCTGGGATAATTTATTCTGTCAAAGTTTATGAGGACAAAAGTATGAAAGCTATAATCTCTTTAGTATTAATATAGGACGGATTTTTTGGTTGTTTCATTAATTAATTACTAGAATTAATACAAATGATTATATACATCTTTGTACATGTCACTGTTTACATATTCGTTTTTTTTAAACGATTTTTTCCAATAGTTTGTTGGTTCTTATTGTACGTGAAAATTTCGTTGTTCATATATGTCTTTTTTATCATTTTTGGAACTGATCTGCCACTTTTATAGGTGTCAAGACAGAAACAAGATATCGATGGTCGAAGTATGTTATTGACATCCCAAGCTCAGGTAGCTGAACCAGGATCACTTGTGTGGCCACATGTTATCATCGCTGTAAGATTGTTAAATTTTACTTTGTTTTATTTTATTTTTTTGTTTTTGTTTATGACATGGAAATTTCGAGGACTCTCGAGTGGTGTTTTATCTTTGCAGCATGTCTTTCACTAGTTTTTATTCGTAACTGTATTCTGGATATACCATGTGGGCTGTTGCCAAAGGGGAATTGGATCCGTCACTGATTAAATCATCATTTTCGTTTTATCATCTTGTAATAATAAAATTTATATCATATTGTAAAGCTCTTGTTGATTTCTACATTCTTTTTTTCCTCAAGTTAAAATAAAGAATGTAAAGAAGTATTGTTGGTCCACTGAATTCATATTTTACATAAATATAATTTTATTGTTCTTTTTAGATCTTCTCAATAAGTACAATGGTTTCACTGCTAACGCTTTGTGTGGCAACTCACTGTTGCCGGAACGCGAAAAAGTAACTTTTCCTTAATTTAAAAATAGTTATACGTGTACTTTTTCCACCTTAGTTTATTATTTTATCATTTTCGTTGTCCATAAGTTGTATGTGTTTTAATGAGTAATATAATGTGGGAGAAAGTAACATAATAATATATAATGTAGGAGAGTAATATCCTAGTATTACAATATGGGAGAACAATAGAAAGAGCAAAGCGAGGAAACAACGAAATATAAATATTTAGTGCAGTGGAATTACTGAAGATTATCACAAAGAAGGTGAATAATTTTTCGGAGATTAGAGGCTCTCTCTAAATGATGTAATTATGCACTTGCATTTATTGATGTTGAAATGGAAGGAATTTATCAAATATCATCGATTTCATTTAATTTCTTCCAACTAATTATTTCTTATGTAATCATTTCGATTTTTCTTTTTGCAGTTTGTATTAAAATTTCAGAAAGGAAAATCCATATGGTGAAATTGTCACAACACCAATTGCTGATGCCCATATTTCAGCAGTTGTTTCTAGAAATAGAACTGATGGATCTCGGCTTCATCATCCCAGTCGTCTTTCCTATCCCAGTCTGGTTTGTTCCATCTGGTCAACCAAGTTGTTTTATAACTTTTTAGTTAGTCATCAGTGATATGGTTTCAGAGATTGGTTCACGCACAGCTGTTTGTGAGTTGATTGAAGCATGATATACTTCAGTTCATTTACTATTAACGTACCTCCTGGTCAGTGCAGAATTTGTGCGAGGTTCATTTGTCTCTGTTTATTTTATATAATTTTCAGAACCTCCATGAACAATCAGTTCATCGTCTTTCCACACCACTTCCTCATTCTTCTCTGGCGATGAAGCGAGCTTTGCCAAAGTAAGCTCTTTTCTCATAAAATGTAGCTTGCTACGAATGAAATATAATTTGCTTTCCTGGATTCTCTTAAAAGTTCCATCAATACATTTATCTTTCCGTTTTATCAATCATTTCTAATCGAACCGTGCATTTTATTTTCGTCTGATATATTGCATGGTATCACAGGATGAATCCAACATTACTTTATCTAGAAAACATTCGAAAAAAGTTTATGTATTGCAATTTTGCATGTTACTGTTACAACTTCCAGGTTACCCGAATATTCGGCACGATTTGAAAATAAAAATCCAGGTCCAGTATACTCAACAATTGATCATGCAACTCCTGCTATCGATCGAAATAGTTCATTTTTGTATGGTGAAGGACCAACAAACCCAACTTATGAATCTATTGATATAGATCCTTCATATTCAAAGGTTTGATGAGCACTTTTATTGGACGTAAGGAAAAAACATAATTATAGGCGTCATATTTCTTGCTTGCACTTGATGCATTTCGTTTGACAAAGTAAAGATTTCAGCAGTGATAGGAATAGACATATTAATGTTTGCAGATTTTTGTAATAGGCCTAAATGACCAAACTTAGTTCAGAATAATACCACAAAGGGATCTAACATTATCATTCTGAGTTTCGTTGGATGATGGTGAATGAGTTACTTTTATTAGAACTCTAGCTATGAACATGGAAGAAATAAAGACATCTTAGTTAGGAAATGGCGGTCCATCTGTGAAACGATATGATTATCCTGTTTTTGTACCTGGAAATCAACCAGCAATCACTACAGATGATATACTTTACCAGAGTGCTTCGCTGATTTATGCAGGTGTTAGCGAAGATCCATACAGGTAATATTTTATTATAGCAAAAAATATTTTATTAATCGGATATTCATGAAGAGAACGAGAGGATGAATCATCATAGGAAGCATTAATTTCTATTACAAGTTTCAATTATTGAATATTACTCACTCTTTTATTGAATGACAATAAATAAATTTGGCAGATATTTCAAAATTGGTTCATGTTCTGTTCAACATATTGTATGCGTGACCAAAGAAATGTCGCAGTTAGAGGCAAGCAACCTAGGAGAGAAAATATTAATGTAGTGTGGTTAGCGTTTGATTATTTTTATGTAGTATAAGAAGCCAGCATCGATTGTATGATTTGGTCATCTGTTCATATCAAACGTGCTTTTGCAACCGATTGAAATGCTCGATGAATTATTTAGATTTTGCCGTTTTTCAGCTCAATAACAAGTCATACAGGTGGTGAAACGAATTATGACGTTGGGTATAGCCACGTAAGGGGAAGCATGAATACGGATACACCACGCTATCTTGCTAATGCACAAGCAGGAGGTCGCAGTCTCGATCATCTCTATTCACGAGTAGGTTTTATATAATTTCTTTAGGCATAATCAACTGGCTAGCATGGGATTTTACACTTATCTTGTTTTCTTAACGTCTTTCTCATCTTTATGATAACAGAATTTTCGGTGTTGCAACAAATATTCATTCTGACACTCTATTAATTCTCTATAAGTTTAAACTTCTAATGTTTACTTTTTAAAGAACACTTCTAAAAACGAATTCGTTAATATTATTGATTATGTTTATTAAACTATTTGTTCTTTCTGATTTGCTCCTTAAATTTGGTCATATGCCTTTTGATTTTTTTACATTGAATACAACATATCATAATATCATCGTGGTTTGTATAAACATGTTTGGAAATATTGCCTTGCTATACCACTCTTGCTTTATTTTTCCTGTATTGGGGAAAGTTGGTATCAAAATCGATTGCTGTTGTCATTGTCTTCGAAGACTTGTTCGATAATATAGCAACATCTAATTAATGTGCTGCATCCAATTCATAGCAACATCTAATTGGCAGCATTTAACATATAAGTGAGACTTGTTGATGAATATTTTTCAGATTCGGCGTGGGCCATCGATGAACAGAGTTACAAACTCATCCACATATCGACCTTTACCGTCGAATGAATTTGGTGCTGAATATATTTCAAGTGGAAGTGACAAGGCACGCCGTTAAAAATCAAGATAAAATTGTAAAAATCCATTTCATGGAGCCAGCTTGCCACTTTTATAAGAACTTTTATTTGATTAGAACTGAAAATTTGACAATGGGAGTGCGTTAGATGTGTCCTAAAGCAAAGCTCCTTAATTTATGTGGCTTTTAGGAATAAGATTTACCATATTAATATATAGTTTAGTTTATTAACAAGCCGACAGCAACAACATTTGGATGATTCGTGAAGTTATCTCTTCAAAATTAGCTAGATTTGAATCTTGTACAATTACTTTAGACAAGTCGAGAACCGTCTTATCGATATATAACTGTACGAGAAACTGTTGATGCTATTCGACAGCGACTGAGTGAGCTTAATCCACCTTCGAATATACCGCAGTCGGTTATAACTGATGGTTGTGGACCAATTCGAGAACATTATTATTCGTCGATCGGTGGTAGTGATTATGAAACAGTTCAGTTTTTCTCCAAAAATGAATAATAAAATATTGAAATAAAGAAAAGACCAGTTTGACAATAGACTTAGGAAAAAAACGAAGCTTAAATAAATGTTTAGATATTGTTCTTATGATTTTGATACAGGTTGAAACTAGAAATAATAGGTAATTTGACAAAGAACAGGCAGATGATTTGATGATCATCGATTCATTAATATTTCCTCGGAAATATAAGTGGAAATGGAGTCAGTGTTTGTTAAAATAAACAAGTTACAGTATTTGATTGGCTGCGAAAGGGTCAGTTGTATTTCAAAAATCTAGGTAATAATTTCTTGTTGTTATTCGTCCGGATAGCAATCCTCGTACGTTGAGCATAGACACTGACATGGTTGCCTTTTGTTATTTCTTTAATTATTCATATTCGAGTTTGTACTTCATTTTATTATTAGTTGCAGCTACAAATCTCAGCGGCATCCACTAACCAACCTTCTTGCGATACTCAGGATGTTCCTTCGACATCCTGTGCTGGTCATGGTTTGTATCTTCAGAAATAATTAATATTTCCTCGGAAATATAAGTGGAAATTGAGTCAGTGTTTGTCAAAATGAAAAAGTTACAGTATTTGATTGGCTGCGAAAGAGTCAGTTGTATTTCAAAAGTTTTACGGTATTAATAATTTAGTAGTTCCATGCAAAGTGTACTTACCACCTCTGATATTTGAGGGTCGTATGATATATGAGGTATTTTTGTTTAAGAAATGATTTAATTTTAGATTCACATCCTGAAGCGATTTCTAGTGCTGTTAGTATCTGTGAAAATATACCACCGAAGCCACCAACTTCTCCGATACCTCTACGTATCACTGCTGTGAAAGAAGATAATTTGCAGAGAAAGCAGCCATTATTATCAGGTGATTGAAATTGTAGTCTTCTTTTTTTGAGAAGCCAATGTTCCTGAAAGAAAGAAGGACTTGAAGTTTGGTGGAAAAGGTTTCATATAAAGTTAATATGAGTCGTCTTAATTAGTTAGTTCAATCTTTCGGCTTTAGTTTTAGCATTGCTGTGTCTAAAAACAAAGGGAATGTTTGTTTCAGGTTCTAATAAGGATGAAGCTATAAATGATGATGAGAGCCGCAGTAATATTTCTGAAAAAATCCGCAGACTTAGGACGAATTTTTTTGACCAGGAACTGTTGGATGAATTCAATGGACCTTCGTCAACAGATCTTCGCTTTGGACAGTTGCAGGGAACCATTAATCAACACGAGGCAACAAAATGGATTAATTCTTCTGGAACTGATCGAAATTTAGACTCAGAGCACTACATTGATCAAGTTTCCTCAGCAAACTTTGATGAGACTTATTCGCACTTACAAAAATTGGCTGCTGATAAATCACATATATATAGTGCACGGAATGTAACCCAAAATGCGCTTCTTTCCACTGTAAACAGACAAAATGTTATTGATGAAGAGCACTGTAAAATTACTGCAGACAATTCAAAGTCTCATTGCTCCCACGAAGCAAGTGTCTTTGGGACAAAAAAATCTGTCGAAGAAGATTCGATCTTTCAAGGTACAGTTTATTCTTGAGGCATAATTGGAACTTATGTGTGACATTTATAGAATTCGACGAAATTTTTAGAGGGAAAAAACGACGAAGAGCAGTGTTTTATTCCTAAAAGGCGCTACGGACTCGGTAAGCAGGCTGAGAATAATAATAGTAGTATTTGCTTCGCTGAGGTATGTTTTGAGGCATCTTACTCAAGTTATTCTTTTTTAAAACATAGTTCTAGGACATTCCATAGTTTTTTTTAAATAGTTGATCTTTTTTTGATTAGCTTTTTTATTAGGATACCATTGGTAAACTTCTTTCGAAGGATGATGAAGTTTTAAAAAGGCAATTTATCATTGATATCCTAATAAACACGTGGATTATACCGTCTCGTTTAATGGCTAAACTCAGAAGCTTTTGATGTGGAATCAGCAGGTGGGATCTAGTAATTGTAATAAGTAGCGCACAGATTATATTTTTTTAATTATAATGTAAAAGTCATCAGAGATGGTAACAGAATCACTCTATACAATATTTTGAGGCTTTGGAGGAACCGCTCAAAAGCACTGCTACACATTCCCTTAAAAGTTCAAATTTCTCTCGAACAACTTCACCATATCAGGTAAGTCAATCGAAAGTTGGTAAATCAAACGTCCAGAATTTTAGATCCTTACCGATCTTGTTTGTTAAAATTAAAATCAAGAATCTCTTTTTTCATTTAAGGGTCAAATTTTAGCAAACATCTTTGAATAAAACTTCTAACGCGGAAAAAGATATGGAAGCACAGTCTTGTTCTGATCAAAGAAGTACGATGGAATTATTTGGAGAAAATGGTATTGATTTAATTTGTTCGTTATGTTATTAAGCTATCGTTAGCTAATTAATGTCAGAAATGCTCTTAGGTACGGAAAGTGGTCGATTGGTGCAAACAGCCAAGCTTAGTTTTTCACACGAATCAATTGATGAAAATGGTTAGTTCTAAATTATCCTTAGGGAATAAAAATTAAAAAAAATTGTTCGTGTGAATTGTCAGAAATATATAAGATGATTCTATTCCCCTGAATACTACTCTCGAAATTTTCCACTAATGAAAAAAGAGAAAAGTCTGTTTAAATCAAATTTATTTTTTGTATGAACTATTTCTTAATCGTCATTTTTCACTTATGTAACTTCACAATTTTAATAGCTCGATGTGATGAAGATAATGGTAATGTTATATAGAACTTCAACACCGATCCTTCTTGGTCGTTAATCTCATCCGGTATTATTTCTTTTCTACTATATATGATTATTATTTAGGACATGAAGTCTATTATAACCATTTCTTTATATTTTTCATATTTCGATTATTTATAAAGGGTAGAAGAGAATTTTGGTTTTATGAGTCAAGATTTTAAGGTTTTTCGGATGTGAGCATGAAGACCTTCATTCTTTGTATCATAACTTAATGAGACATTCGTATCTTTCGTTTACTACTTTCTTATTCATTAATTCTACTTTTTTTGCAGGTGAAAATATCTTTCATATGTGGATAGAACGGATAATAAATCATCTGAAGCACTTGGAATAATTCAGTATCATTTTCTAAAGAATTAATCCTTTTTTAGCTTGTTTATTATTTCAACTTCTAATGTTTCCATTTGTCTTTGTTGAGTTTTATTTATTTTTACATGTTCAGAAGTTTGGAAATTCTTTTTCCATCGAATGATAAGTTACTTTCACATTTACATCTATGGAAATAATCTTGTGCTATGCAGCGTTATTTTATATTTCATCACTAATGTCAAATGGTAGTCGCGTTGCATTTTTTGATTCAAAGTGAACGATATCTGAAGTTTTAGCTCAAAAACAAAGTTAGATTAGTTAAGTTAATCAAACGTTGTTAATTGGCATTACACGAAGTGAAATTTATATGAAATTACAATTTTTCTTTCATTTTAGAAAACATATCTTAATATGGAATTATAAGACAAGGAACTAATGATAGTCGACGTAAAGGTAAAAGGATAATGCCATGGGAAGCTATCAAGTAATTGTTATGGTCTCAAAATTAAAAAGAATGGAGATGTTGTGGGTTGTGCGTATTCCAGCAAATATATTGTTTTGAGCTGAAATTATTGAAATCTTGAAATGAATTGTCTATCACTAAAGCCTTTGATATACTATGCATTAATTATTCAGGTGACATCCGCATATCATTTGTTTTCTCATTATTCCTCTTATGTGATTTTTTACTATTTTGCTTTGCTAATTGATTATGCTGTAGAGTGTTTCAAACTCCCAATATTTTGTATAATATTATAAATTCAACTTTTAAGGTTAATAAAGTTATCTACATTGGTTTTATAATTTGATGTTCAGCATATTGTAAATTTTGAATTACTTACTTGCTTTATTGCCTTGTTTTCTAATGTACTCGACGTGTTAGCAGGGCTGGGCAATTCAGTAATGAGTTAAGCTACATCTTTTTTTGATATTTCAAACAGTACAAGACTTGGAAATATCAAGAAATTTTTTTTTGTCTGTTTTTAGAATTAGTGACACCATTTTTTAGTGAGATCTAAACGTGTTTTGTAGGCGAAGATTACTGTTCGGGGGCTATCTGAACTTTGCAATATAGTTTTACAAATATGAAGAAAGTCCAAAATAGGTGAAGTAGAATGTGTTGCCCACTTTTAGGTACAGTCCTATACATGAAATGTATTCATCTTGTAAATTGTCATAAGATATCAGAAATTTATGCATTCTTTGTGCAACTTGGAGATATGGAATTGGAGCTGTTTTTGTGTTTTCTTTGTTAGAAAATTTTAACTGTCTAAAACTGAATATGAAATTATTTTATATTCTTTATATATACTTTATTGTATCAGAAGCAAACAGTGTTGATATGGCTAGTGGATTGGATGGCAAGTATTATATAGTGTCTTGAAAGGCAACTTGAAGTCATATAATAAAATTTCTATTTCCAAAGGAGAATTAAATTTCAAATATATTTTATAGGTGTGTTATGTATACAATTCTTCATGAAACGGATGATTCGACCGCAGTAAATTTTAGTGAATGTGGGAAATTCTTCCCAGAGAAAGGTTTGCAAATAGTTACCGTTGGTGTGAAATATTTGCGGATTTTTCGCGCTAATCCGTATGCTTTATTATTAAAAGATGAGCAGCGATGGGCCCAAACTACACGATTGGAATGTTTACTAGCTGTGCGATTACTTACACCAGTACAGTCGTTTGCTGTTGCCAGAATTCCACGTAAATATTATACTTTAAAAAGCATTGATTACTTTGTCAAGGAACATTTGAAATTGCTTGGCATTGAAAATTTTCATGCAGTTATTTAAAAAAGAATTTGAGATTTTCATACTAATTTTTAATGCATTTTTTTTTTCGGAAAGAAAGAGGAATTGAGAAAAATTGTAAATATGAAAAGAGATGATAAGGACTTCCTAAGGTGACCTAAGGTGACCATCTAGTAGTAAGAGAATTTTGTAGATTATTCTTGCAGAATTTAACTCTCCCAATACTAAACTTTTTATTCGCATCAATTTTTTCATCACTGGAACAAATCAATTACAGAGAACCCGGACTGTGATAGTCTTTTACTTGGATTTGATGATGCTAAACTTTCCATTGTTGGTGTAAATCCAGCTGATCGATGCTTAAAAACAATTTCATTGCACTGCTTCGAAGATGAACTGCTGAAAGATGGATTCACCAAGAATTTACCTCGTCCAGTTATTCGCGTTGATCCAGGTCAACGATGTGCTGCTATGCTTGTTTTTGGAAGGTAATCAATGATGTGTTTTCAGATATCACTTTTTCCTCTCTCTGAAAAGAGTAATATACCATTTGGTGGACCTTATGCTTATCTCGTCACCGCCGATTAGAATAAAAGCTTGTGCCTTTTCTTTGGAAAAAGATTTTTTCACTGATGTATATTAGCTTTATACTTTAAAGTGGAATATTTCGTTTGAAGTAGAACCTATTGGAATTTTCAATCATTCATATTTTATTATTACACCTTATTGACACTGGAGTAGTTTTATGCTTTCAGATGTCTCTCATTGTTTCAGATACCTTGCTGTGCTTCCATTCAATGACTCAAGTTCCCAATTACATTCATATACTGTCCAGCTTTCCCAAATTGATTCCCGTTTGGTTAATGTAATGGATATGGCTTTCCTTGATGGTTACTACGAACCAACATTGTTATTTCTTTATGAACCCGTTCAAACGACTTGTGGGCGGTAACCTTTTGATCTCTTTTGATCGCTATCTGATTATATAGACACTATTAATTTCAGCAATTAACGTATACCTGATAGTACCATACTTAGATAAAACAACATGAAACAGCATTTTATTAGCTTTTGAGTGTAGAAATTTGTTGAACACATTATTTGATACAATACCATGTAGTTTTGTAGAGCCTGTGTACGTTATGATACCATGTGTGTATTGGGTGTTTCATTAAACGTCAAGGAACAAGTTCTTGCTTCCGTGTGGCACTTAAGCAATCTACCGATGGATTGTAATCAGGTTTGTTTTTGAGCTCTCAAATTTTTAGTGTTTTCAAAATATCTCTTTCATCGCTCTTAATCTTGTTTTGTTCACCTAACGAACAAAACCATGGTGAATAAATAAATAAACGTATAAACTATTCCGAATAAAACCAATGGCTTAGGTAACCTGGTCAAAAAGAGACAGGTTTACGAATAAAACTAAGTCAAAAACGTAAAAGTTTTTTTCTGAATTTAGTAAAACCATGGTTTTATTCGTTTGTACGTTGTTGAATTATACGAAATGATTTTCTTTAAAATTCTATTTGTAAATATTCGTTATTCGACTTTGATGAATTAATGCTGCTAATTAATATTAAGGGAAATAATTATTTTAGTATCGACAGAATATAAAACAAATAGTCCTTTGTTTACCCTTGCAACTTTCTTTTCGTGGTAAATTCTTGTTTTTCGTGATCATTAAGTTCTAAAAAAATGACTTGACTTATTTCATTCTAATTAGGAGTATCTTCTTTGCAATTTGTTCCATTCGTTATAGATTCTTGCAATTCCACAACCAGTTGGTGGAATTTTGCTAGTTGCTACAAATGAACTTATCTATTTGAACCAATCCGTCCCTCCATGTGGTTAGTTATCTTTTCTAATTCAGCCATATTCAAATTTAATTGCTATGATTTTATCAAAATAATAATATTCATTATTGATTTTTGAGTCAGTGATGCTTTTGCACTTTGCACGTATGTCTGAAAGCGTTTTTCAAGTTCAAATTTTAGTCATGAGTATTTGTTATTTAATTCAGAACTGACCCTAAAAGTGTAGAGGAAAATCAGAAATTGTTTTGCTCTCTTGAGATTTTGATTGCACTCACATTTTTGCAGGTATATCGCTTAACAGCTGCATGGATGGTTATACTAAGTTTCCGTTAAAAGATTTCAAGCATATGGCTCTAACACTGGATGGCTGTGTTGTGACCGTTATTTCCACAAATAAGGTTTTCTATTTCAAATTTCTCAAAATTTTCTGAAAGTTCAAAAGTATTTCTTCCATACGTTATTCCATATTCTTGGGAGTAGGGATGTATAGGATTCATAAACTTTAAATTATGGCGACCAACAATTTTAATATTAGGAAGGGTTTCCCGATTACTGTTCATTATTTTTAGATTTTACTGTGCGATCGCAATGGACGGTTGTTTACTTTGGTTTTGGTTACGGACGCTACGAATTCTGTGAAATCACTGGAACTGAAGTTTCAGTTTGGTGAGTTAAGAAGCCCTTTTACATTTTTCTTTCTTTTTTGAAACTGGGAAATTCCGTTGCTCTTGCTTTGCATTTCTTCAAGCTGAGTGTTTTCATAAATAGCTTTCTGGAGTAATTTGGACTGATTCCATGTTTTAATCCTGTTTTAACTATAATAAACTAGAACTGTTCATTATTTTGGGAATACATTTTTGGAATATGTTATGCTGGAATGCCAAGAACATATAATATCTCGAGTGGTTGAAGAATGAAAGTATTTATTCAGTGAAATGAACTGAAACGTAGCAAATTATGCTGTTTATAATCCATGAGTGTAATTATATATGAAAACAATGGAAATGCCGTCGTTGCTTGAAATGAAAGCTTAATAAATGAGATAATCTGGAACTCACAGTTAGCAGAATATACTCCGAAAAGTTATTCTGGGGATGTTCTGTGAATTTTAAAATTTATCGGAAACTCCAAATAAGAGTTATCCATTTCAATCGTCCTGTGCATTTTAGTTTAAAGCTTTTTAGAAAACTCTATTCTCATACTGATTTATATTCTTAATATAGGAAACAATATCACTTCATGTAGTAATGGTGAAAGTCTAATGCTAATCGGAAGGCCTTATAAAAGTCTTATAAAAGCATTTCATTGAAATTGTAATTTGCTTTAGAGACAGTAATTCCGTGTACGATGACTTCCTGTGCACCTGGTTATCTCTTCATTGGCTCTCGTCTTTGTGATTCCGTGTTTCTACATTGCATTTTTGAACAATCGACGTCAGAAGAATCTGTTGCGAAGAAAATAAAATTAAATGCCGAACCAAATGCAAGTGAAGGAGATGAAGATTTCGAGCTGTATGGAGAAGTACTTCCGAAGGTTCGTGCTGTTAGCATTTTTATTGATTCGATAATGGGAGGAAAGTATTGTTTCCGTACCACAAACTTCTTATATAAGTTTATGCGTATGTTGAAAGTTTACCATTGTTAGGATATTATATGTTCACATATTCTAATAATTAATGGAAATTTGTTTTGCTGTAATTTGTGGTTTCGATTTTTAGGTTACGAAAACGGATTCAACGGAAGAACTTCTGAATATTCGTGTTCTTGATAAATTGCTTAACATTGGTCCCTGCAAGAAAATAACTGGTGGTTGTCCGAGTATCAGTGCTTATTTTCAGGAAATAGTCCGGAAGGATCCACTTTTTGATTTAGCAAGTTTTTTAAAGATTTTCGAAGTATTATCCAGAGATCTTTTCATTTCGCTCAATGCAAGAGTTTGTTAAGAAAAAGAATATACCTTTATTTACTTGTATGAAATACATCTGTCCTACAAATAAGATTAGCATATTTATCTTGTTAATGTGAAAGCTTAATTGAATAGCAAGGGAATTTTATTGGCGAATACTTCAGTTACCTTGGAAGATGATTTATTTTAAAATAATAACTGATCATTTTTGGTTAGATGCACAATGAATGAATTTCAACGGAACATTTTAAGGCATGCTCTAAACTTTTTTTTAGAGAATCGTATACGACCATATCTAGCAGACAATCATAATTTTAGCAGAAGCATGATACACTGAATAATTAGATAATTATGGCAGTCTTACTGACTGAGAGCTATCAAATAATTTCTGAAATTTAATGAGTTAATGAATTTTGATTAGCACTATCGAAATTAGTCTGAAAGCCATACCTGTTTTAGGTATGTGCATGTGGACATGGAAAATTTGGAAGCATTTGCATACTTCAAAGAAGCATTCGTCCCGAAATCATCACAAGCAGCAGGTAGCTTATCTTTTGTAATATATTTTGTGCTTCTTTCTCAAAAAGTCTCTTAACTGGATATCAAGTATGAAGATTAAATGATGCTTATTCAGTAAGACTTGTATCGGCATCATTGAGAGATATTCATTTATTCGGAAATAATGGGAACTATACTTTTGCATGATAGTATCAAAATATCTCCCATATTACCTAAAGTTGTGTTAGAGTTATGCTTTTTTTTACATGGGGTTTTCAGGATAGAAAAGACTACCACATTCAAAATACTGAAGCCACATGAATAAAATTAGAATTAAAGGTTTAAATTATTCAGAAATATGATGAATAAGAACGATTTATTTCAAATAAAAGTTTTGTGGCTTCAGTACTTTGAATATAGTACTTTTTTAATTTTCTGCCATTTATGAACTTTGGTCGGTAGTTTTATAAAATTGGTCTCTGGTATACCAATTCATCTTTCTACTATTCCAGAAGAAACTACGGGTTTTTTGTATTGAGGTTGAAGTTGGCAGAGTAGTGTTTCTGATGTCGTTTTTTCAGTATTGAAGGAGTCGTGCAGTATTGGGCTGTTGGGCGCCGTGAAGACGATACGCACATGTATTTCATCGCTTCGAGAGAGGTCGGCTTTTGTTGTAGCTATATGCATTTCAACTTCACTAAATGAGCAAATGCTGTTTCAAATATTTGAGGATTAAAATGATGCATCTCTTACGTTAGGACAGTGCATAACCTTATAAACGCTGTCGCTGTATTGTCAGTAGATACGTATTGCATCAAATGATAATCGGAAGAGATATGTCCATGTAGTTCGAGTCTTATGAACTTAAGTTTATCTTGTTAATCTTTTTAGGATATTTGAATTCCAACTTTCTGCTGATCCTTATTAAGTATGATATACTTTTTGAAATATGTCTCTTTATTGTTTGGGTGTTATTAGAAGATCTGAATCCGAAATTTATATGTAAAATTTGTTAGCTGGGAACTTTGGCATTGGAAACAGACAATGATTTGGTAGAACTGGAAGCACCGATATTCGCGACTTCGGAGTCAACCATTGCTGCTGGTGAATTAGCCGATGGTGGTCTTGCTATTCAGGTATAATTTTTAGAGAAAAAGTTTGAGTGAAATTTATTTTTATTTCCTTAACAGTCGTGAAGCTTTTGTTTTTCAGGTGACTACATCGAGTTTGGTAATGGTTGCAGAGGGACAGCAAATTCAGCATATACCACTTCAGTTGACGTTCCCAGTGCGGAGTGCTTCTATTGTAGATCCCTATATTGCAATATGTACACAAAATGGAAGATTATTAATGTATGAATTAACGAATCATCCGCACGTGCACCTGAAGGTAGTGGCACTTTCAGAATTGTATTAATTAAAATTTTCAAAAATATACCGGGGTTGGCTTATATTAGTTATACAAATTGGAACTTCAAATTTGATTAAAAAGCAAATCGGAAATTTTTTTTCTGCAGGAAATCGATATTTCGAAAAAATTGCGTCATGAGACGTCACCAATAACATCTTTATCAGTTTATCGTGATATGAGCGGAATTATTCGATTTTGTTCTGCAACGAATATATCTCAACAGCATCAAATAGCTGGCACTAATGTACAAGTTCTAGAGCAAGAAGATTTTGAGGATGTGGATGATTTGCTATTATACGGGGATTCCAAGAAACTGAGTATGTCATTATCATCCTCAGTTTAAATTTTTTCTTGTGCAATTTTATTTGGGATTGAAATAAAAGCGTGGGAATAATGTGATTTGATTGGAATATTATTCATTGATGCATGACAGCCAGTTTTGGGAACTCTTTTTTGTTGTCTGTATATGATGATTGGACATACAACTCTGCCTTTTGAGGAAAGCAAAAATTACTTGTAAATCTGGACTTCTCTTATTTGCTGAAACCATTGATTTAATATTTGTTACAGAAAAAGAAACGGTGTCTAGGCGGAGAATCGTTGGCATGAAGTTAGCAGAACAAAATACTCATTTTGATACAGATGTGATCGATCCAAATACGATTGTACCTTCACATTGGATTCTAGTAAGTATTTGATAATAGAAAGGATCTTGAAATCCGCTTAAGTGGTAACATTATATTTTTTTTATAAACAATTAGTTTTTAAAAATCTGATAATATTCATATTTATGGGCTGTTCATATAATATTTTGCTATTTTCAGATTGCGCGAGAAAACGGAAACATGTACATATATTCTATACCGGAACTTCATTTAGTTTATATGATAAAGAAAATTAGTCATTTGCCGGACATTGCTACTGATCAACCATATGTCGATGATGAGCCAGCTACGGGAGAAGGCATTGATTCAGCGCCCGGGACAATGACTGATACATTTGCCGCGAAACCCGAAGAAGTGATTATGGAAGTGGTAAACATTTCGATATTCTCTTTCCGATTTATATTCAAGAGTCATTTTTCTGTTCAGAGAGTCTATTGCTTTTTCTCTTGATAAGAGATCTAGTGACTAAATTTGAGACCAAAAGTGAATTTTGCCAGAAGTTGTGTTTTTGGTCTGTCGTCGAGATTGGTTTTCGGAAAAAGTTTAAAATAAATGCAGCCTATATGGGGTGAACATAACCGAAATTTGTAGCTTCTTGTTGGAATGGGAATGAATCAGGGACGTCCAATGCTTTTTTTGCTTATTGATGATATGGTTTCCGTGTACGAAATGTTTACTTATAATAACGGTATTCAAGGACATCTCGCTGTGCGGTAATGCATTCGCTTTCCTTTCTTCCTTGTATTACATGCTTTTGCTCGACTTTTCTATTTGAAAACATGAAATGCAGCTCAAGCTTTGGCCCACATAACAGACTAATTTTCACCAAAATGAGCTGTCTCACGTTCATGATTTCTTCATTTTCTTGTGGTATAAGAGGAAAATAGTTAAAATTTCGGTTTTCTATCTAAAGTTTTTTTGGAAGTTCTGAATTGATGTGGTTGCACTGATATAAGATTTAAAATAATTGAAGCTTTTCTAAGGCAGACTGCAGTGATCAGGCTGTTCATTTTTCAAGAACTTAATGGTATTTTCCATCTTTTTATGGATCTAGATCCACAGCTGATACATTTCTGAAACAAAATTTGATATTACACAAGGGTTATGCAAATGCATTTTATCATGTAAGATACAGTAGATTTAAAGAAATATATTTTTCATTTTTTTTGAAGTTTGAAATTGATTCTTATAATTTTTACAGGTTCAAGCGACTTCCATACACAACCGTGACTAGGTCATGCCGTTTCCAAGGTTTGGATGGCCGAGCAGCAGTTGAATCAGTTCGAGATGCTGTTAGACATAAGACTGTTTTGCATTTCTTTGAGCGGATAGGAAATGTGGTAAGCTTTTAGCATGTCTTAATTTCTTTTACAAAAGAAACAACATCTAGTTAAGTCAGTTCAAAAGGTCTCCTTTTTTCACATTCTTCTTTTCAGTTAAATGGTGTCTTTATTTGTTCATCATATCCGTGTATTTTCTTCCTTGAATCTGGTATTCCACGTCTTCATCCTGTTAATCTTGATGGACCTATATTATCGTTCACGACTTTCAACAACGCTGCTTGTCCAAATGGGTTCATTTATTTGACAGAACGAGATCGGTTCATGCGTGTAGCAAAGTTACCGGTATGTTTTCATGGATTATTTTTTCAAAAATTTTAATTTTAGTTCAAGCGTAATGAAAATGTGATCTAAATGAAAGATGGTGAGCCACCTGTATCGGCGACACAAATTTTCTTTTGTTTTCACTAATCTTTCCATATTCTTACCTTTGCTTTATCTTTATTTCCCATTTTAATGCCCTTTTATATCGAGCAAAATTTGAGAAACTTAATACTTCGCATGATGAAATTGCTGTTTTCAGAGCGACATGGTACTTGACGCATCATATCCAGTTAGAAGGATAAACGTTGGAGCCACTGTACACAATGTTATATATTTGTTGCATTCAAATACTTATGCCGTGCTAACAAGTGAGAAAAAGAAGGTAACGAAGATGTGTGTGCTTATAAATGATGACAAAACTTTCGAGGAGCATGAGAAACCTGATACATTTGTGTATCCGGAGATAGATCAATATAAGTTACATGTAAGTCATTCTCTTTGATTGATTACTATCTATGAAATAGCATCATCAAAAATTAGAATAACATTCATAACAAAATGGGACGCTAATATTCTACGCTGTAAGATTTCCTAATATTTTTCTGATGAAATTATAATGGATTGAGGGGAATAATCTTTCTTGTTTCTTCCTTTTCTTTTTTCTTTTTCGTGCGGATTATTTTTTTTCGATGATAAATACTATTTTGATTCAGTTGTATTCGCCAGAAGATTGGAAGCCAGTACAAAATGTGGAGATGCTGTTTGAAGAATTCGAAGTAGTTACAAGTTGTGAAGAAGTTGTTTTGCGATCCGAAGGCACGGTATCCGGCGTTCAGAACTATCTTGCTGTTGGGACTGCTTGTAATTATGGTGAAGAAGTTTTGGTGCGAGGTCGGATCATCATTTCGGAAATTATAGAAGTAATAATTTTTGGGTTAGCAAACGATGATAACCTGAGAAATGGAATAGAATGAGCATGAAAACTGTTGATTTCATCTTGAAGAAGTTGCATTAATTTTTAGATTACTACTAGCAGTTGGTTATCTATTTTTTAAGTGCAACGCTATTGCAAATGGTGTCATGATTTATGTGACATATGCTTCTGTGCATCAATTTTTCGAAAGAAGTTCATGTTTGCTTCCATCGTATCGTTTCTTTTTACTCCGTCTTCCATTTAAGCTACTTGGGCTAGCAGACGATTATACTTATCTGAGAAATGGAATAGGATGAGCATGAAAATGTTAATTTCATCTTTATTTTATTTCAGGTAGTTCCAGAACCAGGACAACCAACAAGTAAACATAGAATAAAAACATTATACGATAAGGAACAAAAAGGACCGGTTACCAGCTTGTGCTCATGCAATGGTTATCTATTAACTGGCATGGGTCAAAAGGTATTTCGTTGCTTTTTAATTGCTAAATATATTAAATTATACACTAAATTTCACTTTGAGAAGGGTTGTGATCCTAATTTTAGTACGAAAAATATAAGTTTGGGTACGGATCTCTTTTTTTTCCGACTATGGATTGTATTCGACAGCGCTAGAAATTTTTTGCTTTTATGCTTAAACTGAAGGTTCTCTGCAGGTCAGATCAATTAAAATAATGTGAAAGGTAATTAGCTCTTCCAAAGCCACTATTCTATCTTTTAGTCTTAATAATTTTCCAACTTTGTCGTTCTCCGAAGAATTGAGTTGTTTGGATAATAAGAGACATTTGATCAAAATCACATTTCATTTTTTTTCAAGTAGAATTGTAGAGAATCATGCGGTCAGAGCTTCAAAGTCAAAGAAAGATACAATGAAGCTTAAAAATGCTTCTTATTGCCACGTAACTTCTTTCATTATCTCGGATTTTAGGTGTTCATTTGGTTATTCAAAGATAACAATCTTCAAGGAATATCCTTTCTGGACATGCATTTTTATGTTCACCAGCTGATTGGTGTGCGAAATCTTGCCCTTGCATGCGATATGTATCGTTCGGTAGCTTTATTGCGATATCAGGTAATTATTTTATAATTATTTCTGAATGAGCAGTCCTCTGGGTTCAATAGCAATAGAAGAAATTACATAATTAATTCGCCCCATTTATTTTCAGGAAGAATATAAAGCACTGTCATTGGCTAGCCGTGATATGCGTTCTGATGTCCAGCCACCAATGTCCGCTCAGTTTATCATCGATAACAAACAGATGGGATTTGTAATGTCCGATGAAGCTGCAAACATAGCCATTTTTAATTATTTGCCTGAAACATTAGAATCATTGGGAGGCGAAAAATTAACACTACGAGCTGAGATTAATATTGGAACAGTTGTGAATTCATTTATTCGAGTGAAAGGTAATCATTAAAATGATAAATATGAGCCAATCTTGTTAGAGGTCTTTGTAGCTTTCTTCAGATTGTTTTAAATAACGACAAGTGGTATATGCCGTTTGAAGTCACTAATTGTATAATTTTTCTCAGGCAGGATTATTTTTGACAGCTGAAGTTCTATTAAAAGTTAAAATTTTCACTGAATTTCATCAGATATTCACTTTATATATGTCACTATGAATATTTTGATCTCGTTTTCATCTCCATATTACAGTGAAGTTTTTATTGTAGGGGAATAGAAATATGTTTGTGATTTGGAAAAAACGATAGTATTTTTTAGGTCACATTTCAAGTGGCTTTGTCGAGAACGAATTATTTTCGTTGGAACGACAGAGTGTTTTGTTTGCTTCATTAGATGGAAGTTTAGGATATTTACGACCTCTTACTGAAAAAGTTTTTTTTTTTCATTTTTTTAGCGTTTCTACTACGAAGAATGGGATTAATAGATTTGCGTTAAAATATAATGCATAATTTATGTAAAAAAGTACATTTTTGTCTTTTTATATCAGAACATTCGAATGCTACCAATAATTCATTATCTACAATAAAGCATGACTTCAGTGGGTAGTTTGACTTTATATTTTGTTAGGTATTTCGACGCTTGCATATGTTGCAACAGTTAATGTCATCGATGGTACTGCAACCTGCCGGTTTAAATGCCAAGGGTGCACGAGCAGCTCGACCACAAAGGCCCAATCATTATCTCGTTAGTTTTCACCTGTAGTTTCATTTCCGTTTAATCCGATAACAAATACAATATGCTCGTGAAGTTTTTTGTCTTGTAGGAGTGTGATAAATAGTATTCAATTAGCTTTTAAGCCTCACTTTGTACTTAAATAATATTTCACTGCAGGGAAATAATTTTTTTTAATACTAATTCGACGTGGGACACTCAGCAAAGAAATATTGTCAAGGAAATAAAGTCGATATGGAAGATTTAAGTAAAATTTTTTATAGAATACCCGAAATTTGGTGGATGGTGATATGGTGATGCAGTATTTACATCTTTCGCTACCAGAGAAGAACGATTTGGCGCGGAAATTAGGAACTAGTCGTTATCATATTATCGATGATCTCATCGAAATTTGCAGAGTTACCACACATTATTGATATTTTTATTTGTTGTAAACAGTAATGTCCTTTTGAATTATCTAAAAGATTTTTGATGAACTTTTTTACTTTAAATTAATCATTTGTGTGCAGTATATGTTGTGATATTACGTTTGGAATATTGTATTAGGAAGAATATGATATTTTTTGAATGTCAAAAGATTTTTGATTGCTCATGATTATTTGACATTCTAACACGAATAAATAATGCGTTAGGCATGGATATTTTGCTATCTTTAATAGCACTAACATACGATCAAATCATCCTAGTCTGCATAAACTTGAAAAATTTTGATTCACTCCCTGTCCGATAATGAAGAACCACTTTCTAACACTAGATTTATACTACTTTGGATAGTTTGATATTGATGATAGAAGGAAAGAAATGCCTTATCAGCTGTCAAAAATACTTCTTTATAATAATGATTGTGGTGACGTAAATCAAAGAAACAATCATTCTTGCCCTATGAAAGACGTGCGTATGTTAAAGTTTGTTGCTATTGACAGATTAAAAAGAAAAGCACTGAAGCGAGGTTATGTCATTTATAAAATATTTTATTTCACTAATATTTCGATTTTTATTTTTTCAGGAAATGATCGCAAACTGTTACATTTGATGAAAGAAGTGCATCAAAGGGCAAAAAGTTTCGTGGTTTTACCTCTCTTTGTTCTTTAAATTCTTCTTGCTCTTATTCTGTTTGCTTGAATAACTATGGTAGAAGTCAGGTAGAGAAATCTAATTTAAAATCCTTGAACGAACTGCAATTTCAGTTTGAGTTTGGACAACGATGAAGGTTCATGAAGTTTTAGTAATCGCAAATATGTTATCTACTCACTGAATTAATTATGGAATTTAAATTCTTATAACTTAACAATCGTATGTATAACTTTATCCAGTGAAATGAAATGGATGAATTTTATCATTAATAAATTTTTCTTATTAGTAATTAAGTAATAATTATTGATAATTAAATGAAACAATATTTGAGGCCATTGATATTAGTTTAGTCATTTTATTAGTCTCCATGTTTATTAAAATATATAATTTCTTGATGGTGATAATATTGATTTCAATTTAGTTTTCTTATATTGAATAGGATTATTGTTTATCTGAATATGAAAATTTCTCGAGTGGATTAGCTAAATCGACTAATTTTAAATTATGTCAATGGTTGATGAGATGAATAATTAAATTAGTGTAATAGTTTATGCATATGTGTTAGTTAATATCATATATTCAATAATATAATCAATCGTTTGGTTCTATTCACATTTCAATTAAAATTATTAATGTAATATTAATTGATCTCTCTCTTATTTGTTATAAATTTGACATTGTTGTTAATGAATTTATGCTTTTGAATTTCACTTCTATTGCTTCCCAGATTGTTTTTTTTCGTAATACTTTCGAAGAGATTGTTATGTTATATATTACAACTGCTTACTTCATTCTCTCTTCTTTGTTCTTACTCGGCTAAATTTTGTTCGAAGATTACAATTTATCACCACCAATCATACGTTCTATCTTTCTCATTATTTCTATATAATTCTATCTGATAAACGATAAACGATAATGGTTATCAAGGCTATACCATTTTTAATTTTTGCTATCACTAAAATGATACTGAATACCTATCATAGTGACTTTTGTTGTTTTGGATTGTATCAGTGATCTATTTTATCGTGTTACATTTGAGTTATATAACATTGTTCTTCTGCAATTCCTAGAAATATTTTCTTTGATCTGTGAAAATTCTGTCTTTAAATGGAAGCTACTGTTAAAGTTATGCAATTAACGAGGATGAAATAATCCGTAAGGTGAGAGGTTACATATGCTTATAAAAACATATTGATATATTAGTTAGTCATAATACATGATGATAATAATGATAATATAATTATGAATATCACAGTATAGTTTGATTTCTGTTATTTGTTGATTTTATTTAATTCGAAGTACTTCTTTTTCTTTCTTTTCTTCCATCCCATTCTCTCTTTAATTTTCTCATCTCTTCCAATACTTCGAAAATATCTCTAAGTTTTGACGTATAGAATATTTGGTATGGAAAATATTGAAAATGATTTCATTCCTTTGAAGTTATTTGGACTGTTTGATTTGTTTATCCCACTATCTTGTGCTTTCTAATGTCATGCTATTGATTCTACGACAAAATTTCTACAGTGATTTGCATAATGGTACTCACCCGTGCAGTACCATTACGAAAGTCACTGCAGAAAATTTCAATGAATTTATCTTAATGAGATTACATTGAATTCCGTGTTACGGTATTGTTTTCCGTGTACAATTCACACTATCACGTACGTGAGAATCGTTACGAATGAACAGGAGATAATGCTACAATTGGAATATTTTGACGTTCGTGTTTTCTTTTTCTTTTCGCTCATCTTTTGACACAGCTTAGATCTTAAATGATTGTTTACCTTGACTTGAACAATTAGGCCTGAAGCTTTGAGTCACATTATTATGCCTAGAAAAAGAGCGGAAAAATTAGGAATTATTTAGAAGTGAAATTGTACCTCTTTGATGCTCACTTAGACGAGAATAACGAGACGTATGCGATGATGTTTGATAATTTCTTATCGGCTTAAGTAATTTGTAATTCATTAATGATAATCGATTTCAAAATTAAATATAGATGTAGGCTCATTTATTGAATCAGATCGATTTCAGTAAAGAAACTTTTCTTTTAAAGAAGCATTGCTGAGCAAATGTTGTTTATAATTCCGTATATTTCTTTTCCCCGGACATTTATGACGTTTTCAAATATCATATAGGAGAAAAAAACTTTTACCAAATGGAATTTAGGAGGCAGCTTCTCTTTTGCAATGCTGAAAGTTCATGAGGCTTTGTTTGTTTGTTTTTTTTCTTTCAACTAATAAAACAATGAATGTCGGTGTTCTTTCATATCTCTCTCTCTCTCTTCTTGAAAAGATATTATAAGTTAATGATGTGTAATTGTACAATTTTGAAATTTATTTGGATTTGTTTTTAGACCTATCAGGTTATCGTGTATATTATATGATGGGTAATGTTTTGTGCTCTTTGCTTCTCTATTAAATGTAGTTTAAATTTCAGTAGAAAAAAAAGATTAATTAACGATGGAAATTATGAATTCCTTTGTTCAATTAATTAAAAACTGCCTTATGTACTTTTTTAAACAAATGATTTATATGAGATACGAACAATTTCCATTATAGAAAAAGCAAACTTTCTATTTGTTTCTTCTTCATTTATTATTAGTGCATTGTTAAATATTTGACTGCTAGAATGCTTATCTTAAACAAAATGACCTTTTTTGTACAATCATAACAAAATGACCTTTTTTGTACAATCATAACAAAATGACCTTTTTTTCACAAAATCCTATGACAGCTTATAATATCCTATTTATGCCTATTGCTTCCTATTTACAGTCGAAACTTTTGTCCTGGAAATTTTCTCCTACAACTTCATTATCTTTTTCAATTATTTCCATCCGTTTCGAAAAACTTCAACAAATATTGCTGTTGAATTTGAACAACAAATATTAAACAAATAAATACAATGATTAGAATTTGGAACTGGTACGATTAATTATCTCCGATTCATTTGCAATTATTATTTATAATTTACTGAAGTATAAATAGAACTAATTCGTTGATTGTTTGAATAAATAATGATCCTTTTCAGGAATTCTTAAAAATATTATAATCAGTGGCAGTGCTTCACGTTGGTTATCATTTGTATTTTGCGTATGGTAATATCAACTTTCAACTTTCAAGTATGCTCCTTTGCAGTACAAATTTTGGACTTTTTGCAAATTTTATCAAAGGAGCAATTAAAAGTAATCTATTACTTCATAATATTATTCTTATTGATAAAAATAAAAATAAATAAATAAGCAAACTGATGGAATTAACGAGTTGGGAGAATCGCTGTACAACTATCCTTATTCATTTTGATAATTTAACGATAAATTAAAGATCTTATAATCAAATTGATTACCACTGATAAGTGATAAGAGAATAAGATGGAATAAAAGTTAGCAAAAAGTTGTGAATGAATTGAAAATCATTAAATATTACATCTGAAAGCCTTTTAAATATCATTCTTTTAACAAAGAAATAAATCATTTTTACCATTCGACCCAATGATTTATTGCGCATCTGTCTTGTGCGCTCAAATCAAATATGAGCACAATTTTTCATTTTACAAAAAACAAAAGGCAAATTAAAAAAAATTAAATAAAAAATGTATTTTACCTTTATCTATATAAGTTGGTAATACTTTTTATTTGTATAGTTGGTCTTTTGAAAAATTAAATGATTAATGAATTGTAATAGAATCGACTTAAAACTCATTCAAATGACAGTGTCAGCAATGTTTCACCCTCTTTTTTGAAATCAAAGTTTAATATTTTCAGTTTCGACCTTACTGCTTAGTCCTACAATTTTCCTTCCTTTTTCTTAAAAATTACATTAATATTATTGTTGTTATTAACATCATGTAATACAATTTATTACTTCATAAGAATTAAGGCTTTGTAATATATATATAATACAAAGCTCTTTCTATATATATATATATATATATATATATAGAAAGAGCTCTTTTTATATATATATATATATAGAAAGAGCTTTGTATTATATATAGAAAGAGAAGAAATAGGAAAATGGAGTTAGTGAATTTAAATAAAGTTAGTGAACTCTAATCGAAATACCACTATTGAGTTAAAGAAAAGTTTAGTGTTGAAATTCAACAACAATAAATTTGCTGATATAAAAAAAATTTGTTTTTATATTTCCCAAAATCAGCTGACAAATATCTTTTAGGTTGTTGATAACTTCATAAGCTTACGACGTCATAAGCTAAGCTCATTTCTTTCATTCTCATGAAAACCTAATATGAAGGCTTTAGGTGTACGTTAATAACGGAGCTCAATTTTGGTCCTATACTTCGTTTCTTCATAAATGACGGATATCTTTCTTTTTTCATCGTTTGTTTCTTATCGATCAAACATCCATTTTTTATTTTTTGTTTACTATCAAAAAGCATTTTCCAAAACGGATTGTTGAATGAGAAGATAAGGGATATAAAAGAGTGACTTATCATTTTAAAGACAGATTAATGGCATACTTCCCTCCATTTTGGTAATTAGAATAGATAGTGATAATTTCTTTTTTACAATATGTTACCCTAAATATGATCTTTATTGTCCATTTTATCAGATGAGAAGATCCATGTCAGTTAGACGAGCAATTGTTCCTTCCTTTATTTAAGCCTGAGCAGTTAACCATTACGTGTGTCATTTATTTAAAATATCTATTTATTTCCTTACGGGTTTTCTTTCTTCTCTACATATGTTATTGGTATGCTTCGAATAGGCTACCATCGCTGTCATTATTTTCTCTATTGAAATATGTAATTGATATCATCTTATCAGTAGCTTATCATCTCATTCTTACTACATTTTGTTTCAGTTGATTGCTCTTTGAAAGTTTCGTTTTAAATTCTTCTCAACAAATACTTCATCGAATAATGAAATAGCATTCCATCGGTGATATATGACAACCATTTTATTAGTACGATGCATCTGTAGAAGCCTATATATCCAAAGCAAATGTCGAATTTTAATTTAAAAGAATTTGAATCTTTATTCATTGAGAGAGTCATAAATTACAAGCAGCAAAATTAAATATTATATGATCAAAACTGAAATGGGAAATTTAGATGTTATAGGGAAAAAGTGAAGAATCTGAAAAGAGAAGGGTCAAGAAGGAAGAAAGTAGCAGGTATATCGCCATGGAAGTAATTAATATCAATAAATTTCAAACTTTTGTTGAAACTAGGAAGTTATTTATGTGTAAGCAGAAAGGATGGATTAATGCCACCATGTTAAGAGTCGATTGCGATTTATTTTTTTTAAAATATCTTAGCATCATTATTCATCACGCTATTCTATTCCTCGACGTTCATAAATCACTTATGCTACTTTAAATCAGCATTGTCTTATGGTCTGAATTAGAATATGAGGAGAAAAAGGAAGAGAGTGGAAGGACGGTTCAGGAAATCGAACTCATCTTGTTGAAACTAGATGTCAAAATAAACGTATGTCTCCCTATCACCATCACCATCACCATCACCATCACCATCACCATCATCATTACCATCACCATTATTTAGTAAACTTAAAATTTTAAAATAAAACTTAAATGCAGTTAATGGAATCAATTTTCTTTTCTCTGCTCTTCTCCTCTCATTATCATTGATGAATTTACTGTTTGCATAATCATATTCTCATGTTTTAGCGTTTATTTGAAAAAGATTTTTGAAAATTTCAAATTTCTATTTGAAATCAATGATCCGATATAGACGATTTTTTTCATTCAGATAAGAGAAGAGAAACTTTGTCGGTAATATTTGGTTAGATTTTATTTTGTGTTAAAAAGTAAATATTTATTTTGGATCAATTTTGACAACATTTGTAAAATTTTTTCAAACATTCACCGTTAAAATACTTTTGCACAACATTCTGTTAAATTGTTTACTAATTGAGTGGTTTGTTTACTAATTGAGTGGTCTGATCAAATGGTATATCTCAATTTTGTTGTATCGATATGTCATAACAGAGCCATCTTATAAAGTAAAAATAAATTGAATTTTGAAATTTTTTAATCTTAAATCTCTTATATTTAATACTTTATAAGAACTGATAGAATTGACAAAATTTAAGTGTTTTTATTACATTTAATCCATATGCTTTCAATAAGAGAAGAAATAATAACCTCTAAGAGGTGAGATAATTATTTGGCTCGTAATTTCTCATAATACTTTTGTTTACAAAATATTTTGAAATTAATGAAATGGAGTATATATACCTGGTAAGCAATATTTTCTGATCTATCGCTTAATTAATGTTGCAAATTCATTACTATCGTTATGTTTTAATAGAAGAATTACTTTGGTCTTTGACGTTTATAAAATTCCATTTTGCCATAAAAATTTTGCTGAATTGATAAAACTTTCTTTTCAATTGATAAATAACAAAAAAAAGCAATCTTCACATGATTTTCTTTTTCCATAAGATTTCAAAATTGTAAACAAATCAAATTCAAAATCTTTAATTAAATTTGATCTTTTCTCCTTCCATTGTTAATTACGCCTAAACATGTTTCCTTTTCGTAGTATCATCGTAATTTGAAGAGTTGAAAATGTTATAACGAAGGAATTCATTGCTTAACCCCGTCATTTACCATTCCATTACTACAAAAAGGATCTTCACATGACTTTTCTTCATAAGATTTCAAAATTGTAAACAAATGAAATTCAAACCTTTAATTAAATTTGATCTTTTCTCTTTCCATTCTTAATTACACCTAAATATGTTTCCTTTTCGTAGTATCATCGTAATTTGAAGGGTTAAAAATGTCATGACGAAGGAATTCATCGCTCGATCCCGTCATCTACCATTCCATCCGGTACTTTCATTACTACAAAAACGATCTTCACATGACCTTTTTTTCATAAGATTTCAAAATCGTAAATAAATGAAATTCAAATCTTCAATTAAATTTGGCCTTTTCTCTTTCCATTTCTAATTACACTTAAATATGTTTCCTTTTCATAGTATCATCGTAATTTGAAGGGTTGAAAATGTCATGACGAAGGAATTCATTGCTCGACCTCGTCATTCACCATTCCATCCGGTGTTTTCCTGACAGCTTCTCTTCCGGAAAACATTTAATAATATTTCACTGCTTACTCGAGCGATTCATTTTTGATTAATATCTTACTACATCATCTTTTCTCTCTTTCTTTTCGATCTTACATCTCTAATAGCAACATGCTACATTATTAATATTAAAGAAATGCAGCAAAATTAGAGAGCAATGAAATCTTCACATAATTTTTTTTTCATAAGATTTCAAAGTTTTAAACAAATCAAATTCAAATCTTTAATTAAATTTGATTTCTTCTCTTTCCATTTCTAATTAAAGCTTAACATACTTCTTATTCCACTGATGATAATGAGTGGAGAGGTGTAAAAAGTTCAATTGATCGAAAGAGTTGATAGTGATTAATTACTCTTGGAAGATCATTATTTTCTCCTTTTCAATATTAAAGGTAAAGTTAGGATTCAGAATATCGAATTCATATAATTTATTATCTGTCTATGTTAGAAACTTTCCCTTTAATTCGCCTTTATTATCTTTCCCATTTTTATCATTTTGTTACTGATAGCATGTAAATATCCTCGACGAATATTGCTATAAATCATCCAAATACACTCAATCCCATCGATCCAATCTACCCTTTGTTATTTTTGCTCTACCTGTCGACGCAAATGGACGTCCTCTTTTATGCCATCCTTAAATTTTCTACTTTCTCACTCTGCCATTAACATTTAGTTTAATCGATCACGTGTTCTTCACATTCTGCGTACACACATACACATACACATACACACACATACACATACACATATACATCTACATACACATACACATACACATACATATGTACACACACAGACAATGTTGAGACATTATTAAGGGGTTGATGTGAAAAAGTTCGGATTTTTACCTCTCCATTATCAAATTAAATTTATTCCGTTAGTAAGAATTGTATTGGATATATTTGTTATATCTTTCTTTAAAATGGGTCGGTTAACCTGAACAGAGGCGATTTGGTGTGGTCCAAATATGGGATAGAGCAGGGTATTGAGATTTTCGAGTATATCAGATGCAGAATTGCATTGAGGACTATCAGATTCCGCTCATCTCTCCCCTTTCTTTGATATGATGAATCTAAATAAGATTTGTCACATGTCATCTGAAAAAAAAGATTTAGATAATCCTCTGAAAAAAAAGCATAGTGTATCACAGAGTTTCACCTATAGTAGCAGCTATGAATTAGTATATATTAAAGATATCTGCATGATAAACCGAAAGAAGAATTGAGCAACGAGTGTGAGAACCACTTTTCTGGAAGTTCTATACTCTTGACTCTTGCAAAGTTATTCATTTCTTTCTTCAAATTTCAGGTCAAGTGCTTGCTGTCCAAATGTCAATCGCACCACGTATAATGCTTCATTTTTCGGTGGAAGTTGAAACAGTACGGCCATGGGAATATGTATTTGTTACAGGTTCAGTGCCATCTTTAGGTGGATGGATGCCTTCCGATGCGTTCCTTTTGTTTCCGGATCCTGATTCTGCGTCGGTTATTTGCCTCCTTTTGTTATTGTTTTTGCTTCACTTAATAAGTTAAAAAATTTCCGATGAGAAAGAATATTTGAACATTCAGGAGATTGTAGTTTTTATATCGCAATTTTGGAAAACATCATCCAGTTCCAGCTAATTCACAACAGCAGTTCTGTATTACAAGACAGTTATAATCCCTGAATCCTCTTTAAAGTGCACATGTTTGATAGTACATATGAGTAATTGTTAACATAATTAGCCACTTCTTTTTATAAATGGTTATGTGAGTACCGAAGTTGATCTCTTCCTTTTTAAATGAAACTTGCTGGTGTAAAAGTGAGGTTAAAGTAATGTTACAGTGAAAATATATAGAGTAATGTAGTTTAAAGTACTATAAACGGTTTCTAAAGTATTAAAATGGAAACTTATTTATACTGAAAAGGCAATTAATATTTTTTGAAGGCATTAGGCTTTAAAGAGAATAATGTGCTACAAAAGTAAAAGGTAAAAACTGCGAAGTACATTAAAAATTCATCTTTGATATCCTCCAATTTCTTTTATGAAGTTTTACTTACAGAAGTTTTGGTTTCGAAAAAATAGTTAAAAAAGAAGTAGAAAAGATAGTTTATTCTTGCTTTAATAATTACAAAACTAATTCATGTGATGCGCAAACTTTACTGCGCACGAAATACAGTAGCTGGAAGGATATCTTATATTGCAAAATGGAGGGGGGTACCAGTTTTAGTATTGGTATTGTTCGACTTAAATTTTGGAGAAAAATGATCTAGAGATATTATTTCTAATAAAAAGTTGGAATTCTAATGTGTTTGTTTTTCAGCAGGAAACGTTGGAAAGGTGCAGTGGAAGTTGGGTCGGATCCAGTAAAATTCCGTTATTTTATTGGATATTATTTGCATAGTGGTAAAGAAGGAGAGAAAAATGCAAGTTTTTTTTATCACTTTAACGGCTAACAAGAAATGAAACAAAGGGTGCTCATTTTTTAGAAATATTTAAATGAATATAAAAAAGATAATTTCAGGAATTACTCGTTAGTAAATGGGAATCATTTTTAAATCCCAGATCCGTTCTACCAATTGTTGAATCATTTTCGGGTGTCTGCAATTTACATGTCACTGATAAATTTGGCTGGACTTGTAAGATTTTTGTTGTTTCATTTTCTTTTGATTACTAGAGAGTTTGAGCTAGAAATTAAGTAAACTCTTTTCACTTACTTTGATGTACAAAGGCCAAGGCAATTAACAGGGATAGTATGTTTGTTCCTCATTAAGAAAAGATCCAGAAAGAGAAACAGTACTTGAAGATTTCAACAATTTTTTACTTTCTTGGAAATATGATCAAATGAGAAATGGCTCATTTCCGCAACTTTTTATCTGAATTTTAGAACAACTCTGGAATTTATTTGTATCGTTTCAGCTGGCAAAAGCCTTGTGAGCGACGCATCACTTGTGGGAAAGAATCAGAACGAAATTTTACTTCGCTTTCACGGGAATCCATTCAAATTCTATAAGAAACGTTATGCTGAACGTTCTCACTGCATTAAAGTAACACCGTTTGATCTAAGACATAGAGAGGTAATCTTTTGTTACACCTTACTGTGTAATGTCCATCTATTTTTCTGAATTATGCAAATTACTGGAAATTTTTGGCTGTTTCTCTTATAGCTTTCCTGTTTGATACTGACAGGAATTTGTTTGCTCAGCAAAAATCAGTTAACATTCCACGTGCTACAAAGCATGAAAAACAAAATATATACTTTTCATATATTCTTATCTATTGGATTTTGCTCTGTTAAATCAAAAGAAATTTTCCGGTGCGTGAAAAATCTCACATCAATCTATACCCGTGAAAAGAGAAATGAAGTTTAGTATCTGAGACTGTAATGATGTAATCATACACAGTTTCCATCATGCGCAGTAATTTGTTCCAAGTTTAGATGTTCACTTACGATTTTAAAGAACGTACTATTTGGCGAGCATGGTCATATGCCGTAGGCAATTTTGAAATTGTTACTGTTGTTGTCTTGTGATGTAGAATTAGTTTTTTGTGCTGCAATTTGTATCTAAACATTAATAGGACTTGATGTTATCGTTTCTTCCCACGAATTCCGTTTAAGATAGCTCATCAATATGAAAATGGCTAAACAATATCGTTGTAAGCGGAACATATATTTTGAAGACTTCCAGTGTCTAAGATGATTACAGTTAAGGACTAACTAATCAAAGGGATTAAAAGATTGATCAAGCTATCATACAGCTGCATCGACATGTAGTTGCAACATCTGGTTATTTTAATAGTAATCGTGCTTTCTCAGTTTAAGCCATATATTACCATCACTTTACGTAGAAAATTTTGTTCCTCTCAAACGGTTTTTTCTTTCTTATATTTTCTTGTATTATAACATGCTGGATTTACTAGGTTAACTTCGTCATTATCCCAAATCGTACATAAAATGATTTCTAAACAGATGTTATTCAGTCTTCATTATTTTTCTCACCGTTGTTTTCCCCGTTCTGAGCAAATTCCTTACATTTACTCGAATCTGGCACTTCCTCAATATACTTCATCATCTTAGGAACAAACTCTATGATCTTTCGATTTCTGCTGTTGGTATCAATAGAAAAACTTCAAATTAATTAAAGCATTAAATAAAGTCCCTTCAAATCGAGAATATTAGATGATTACAGTCGCTTTAAATCGATTTAAGCTTTTTGGGGTGCAAGTTGTAGTTTACATTTATAATATTCAGTACATGAAATAATAGATTAGTGCATGAATGTATTGTGCCACTCAGTCTCGTCTTCACGTCACCAATTTGATAATTTATAGTTAGCCGTGGTAGTATAGTACAAACAAGAAATTTCTTCAAATTTTGATTATTTTTTTCTTTTGCAGGCCGGCAGCATAGATGAGGATGATAACGAAGAGGGTCAGGATGTGGTGGACCCAGCATTACCGTCGTATTCAGTGGCACATATTGCTGTAAGATTTTATATCTCTGCCGTGTTTTTGAAATTACTCTTATATATCATTTGTGTAGATGTAAATTGTAAATCTAATAAATATATCATCAGGAATCAAATGAATAGAAGATTAATAATTAAGTAATAGGTTTTTTGCCGGACGTAAAAAATAGATCAATCTTCTCCTTCAATGCTTCGGTGATCGATATTTGATGGATTGTCTGAGCATACTTGACGAAAACATTGGAAAAATTAAATTGTACTCATTTTAATATTTGGTGAGGTTTGGCGTTACTTAAACTAGCATTCATTTGCGCCACGTATGCTTACATACATTCCTTGATGCATTTATATGATTGATCTCATATAGTAGGATACGGAATATCAATCATAGGGCTTTATGCAAAGCTCATCAAGTTACTCGTTATTTTATACATAACAAACATACCTTATAATATAGATAATGGCTGGATGGTATTTATATTCCTGAAATTTAAGAAAAAGGAAGAGATTGAGATATACTGACAATTCAGTCTATTAAGCAAAGGGACCAATTGAGCGAAGTATTCTGGTGCCCAGCGTTAATTTTTTTTCAGGAAGGTTTCCATTCAGCTTGCATCGGTAGATGGGCTGCATTGAATAACCGGATGGGTATTCCTGCCATTTTTTTTACTTTTGTATGGAAGATTAATATCTCCACTTGATTACTAGATCGACGCAAGTGGCGCAAATGTACTTCTAGCAATAGGAAGTGGCGCAAATGTTCTGTAGTGTTTACTTGATGCTATAGAAAGTTCAGGCATTTGTATTCTCTAATAACTTTAACATATAAAACCAATCAAATTTTCACAGTTGAGCCATGTGAGAAAAAAGTGCAATCGAATTGATGTTTTTTTCTACATAAAAAAGAAAAAAACATCTTTGCAGAGATTTGTAGTGAAACATGCGACTTGAAATACGAATTGATGCAGTTAAGGATTTTATTTTGCATTGCATAATATATAGTGCTGTATGACACAGTTTAGGGTGCTGTATTCATTTAGGCTTTCTTCTATTCCAACCTGTTGCTTGTTGTCTGACAGCAGTTTATCAACATTGAACTTTAAATCAGTAAATCCTATTTCTTGCCAAAAGCCTGAACTTGAACCTTACTTAATTTAGCTGATGAACAACAAGTTTTCTCAAATTCTAGTATTTAAGTATCTCTGGCGGATATTTTGCCAGGAACAGAGGTTAATTGCTTCCAAAAGGGTTTGTATAATTTGTTAATTAAAATCTTTTTCGAGTAAATATCATTGAAACTAAATCATATTTAAAGGAATTCCAATTCAGTAGAAAAGAAAATCATTTTAAGATAGAAATATCACTTTGAGATGGCTGTAAGGGTTCGAAATCCAGGAAATTGTTGGCTTTTGGTATGAGTTATAAATCCCGTATTATAGTCTGAAAGTGATAACTCAATTTTTGGGGATTCAAAATTGAGAATGTCTTTTCTGTTTCAGATTCAGATACTCTTCTATTTTTATTTTTTTGTTTTGAGATCTGATCCCAGCGCAAGCTTTATGTTCTGTAGCATTTATTAAACTTTGTTATCTTAGTTGATCGCATTTAATAGTTTCTTGTTACTAATAAGCTGATTTCTTAAGAGGGTGGCGTATCGGTTGATTTTTTCGAAGGTCAACGGAATTCTTGAGTTGGTTTTTAAGGAAAAAGATTTCTGAAAACTTTCACTTATTATTGATTTCTACTTTGGTATATCCGTTTTGCTTTTAAAAGATGCAAAATCAGAGGGAAGATATGAAAGTGAAACCTGATTTGTTCAATTCTAGAGAAAAGGGACATTTTGGGCTTTCAATCTTCTCCGGTGGTTGCGCCGCTCCATTAAAACATAATGTGGTGCTTCTTTGAATAGTTTAGATTAAAAAGAAGGGCTGTATGCTGAAGCAATGATGGGTCTGAAATTATGATAATCAGAGAGAGATAAATGTGACCAAATTTGTTTTAAAGACACTTGGTAATTTGGAAATTTTATTTTTCTTAAACCATTGGCGGAAACGGTAAATTCAGTCCTATCATCGTCTTCTAAAAAATGTGTTCTTAATGGTCATTATCTGTTTAGTCTGTCACAGTGTTCCGTTACCATGCGTAGAATTCATAGTGGAAGCCACTCTTTCAGATTTTGCCGTAATGTGCTTGCTGCAGCATGATGGATGGTATGGAAAAATTCAGATATAATACACTGTGATGAGTTGTGTCCACCCATGGTCGTATGAGAGGATACTGTGTGAATCGAGGAAGGATTGAACCGTAGCGATATGGAATGTTGTCTGCACAGCACATACATATACATATCCTTTTTCATCATAAGCTTTGTTATCAAAGCTTACAGATTACCATGGAAGAGCTGAACCCAAAGTGATACCACTTACTACTACTATCTACTACTACTACTGCTACCATTGCAACGCCTGTCACTACCAGTCAGCAATGAATGAAGCACAACTATCAAATCTTTGTTGTGCGCAACCCGCAATTTTAATTTTCAGATTTTATCATCGGATGATCCACGCTACCGCGAACAATCGCAATCCGGTGATCGCTTTAAAGTGGGCAGCGATTATTTTATATTCCGGACGCGATCGGTGGCGGTGGAGTTTCTTGTTAGCATCAAGTTTTTTTTCTAAAAAAATTCTTCTAAAATCGCATTTTTTGTATATTTTAAGGATTTTTCATCGTAAAGGCAGCCAGAGTAAATACAAATAGTTAATTGGCTAACGGCTAAAATTTCTTAAATAATCCGTGAGCGAAAATTATTCATGTTGAAAGCATAGGAAAATGATAAAGGATGAAATCATTATTAATTAAAGTTGATTTGGGTTCTGCCAGAAGATTTTTGAAAACCAGAGGAAACTCAGAAATGGTTTTAATTTCTGGAAATGAAATGGAAATGGTAGGATGACCGGAAGTAGTAGAGAAAATTATTTGGATTTGGTATTTATGTTGAATGTTAGGAACTAAGTCCTATATAATCAAATGAGGGAAAGGACTGAGAATTCATTGTTGTTATTGATGCAGGAGAATTGCAATCTCTTTTCTACAATGTCAGAAAGCTGAATATTAGACACATTGAAAGATGCTAGCTAAAATATCTTCTCCTTACTCTCCATGAAAGGGTCCGCATTTAAGAATTACCTAGCGTTTAAATTATCCATTAGTTTAAGTCAAAGATGAAGGCAATTTCAATCAAGCATAATCTGTTAGATAGTTAACTAGCTTTTGAAAATTTAATTTCGCTTCATTTCGCATTTTTGCATATTAAAATTGATATCAATGAATCAAAAAGTTGGAAATGAATTAAATAAATGAAAAACACCTGGAAATATTATCTTTTAAATTGTAACACTGTGATCTGCTGAAAGGAATGTCAACATGTGAGTCAGTTGAAACCGGCAACACTGATGTTCGCGAAAGCCATATTGCTTTTAGCGCGAAAGCGGTTTTTGTCAGCCATCTCCTCGTTAAGCATGTTCTTTTTAACACTTTCGGTTAGACGTAAACGTTTGAGGGTTTCCGGATAGAATTATTTGCCTATGACGAAGAGCGTGGACCGTCCGTGGAGCGTTTTGCAATTGCTTACGCACTACCTTCATCATTCCATGGTACATTTGGTGTTGCTAGTGAACCGCTTTTGGTAAACAATCGTCCAGTTGGACAAATTAATGGTAGCTTTTTGTCAGTAATTGTAACACTTTCCTTTTTTATGGGCAAAATCCAATTTGTTTTCTTTTCTGGAAATGAAATATTTTTTCTTCCGTGGCTCTGAATCAGTTTGTTCGTCAAACAGTTTTCACCTTTATTATCGGATGAATGATTTAGCTCTTTTTCGGAGTACAAAGTATTCAAATTAGAATAATGTGGAATAATTATTCATTGAAACAAAATTTTGGTACTCGACAATCTTATTTGCAGTGGAATATTTGTTCATTCGACCACTTTTGACATCATGTTCGGTGCAGAAAATGGATATCTCCTATGCTAAACATTGGAAGAAGCGGCAACCTCTTGAAGTCGGTCATAGGGGTATGGGTAATTCGTATACGAAGTATGTGATCTCAGTTTTGGAATTTCTGATTTATTTCTCTGAGCAAACCGTCGAAGCGATACTTTACCAAATTCGAGAAGATGAAAGCTTTTTATTGCTACAGTTACGATTAAGACTTTTAGCAAAGTAACTTCTGCAAAAAAATATGCAATCTTTAAGTAAGTAAGTAAATAATTATTCTTTAACATGTTTTTTATTTTCAAAAATACCATGTAGTATTCCAGAATGAATGCAGGCCGTGAGAACACAATACACTCGCTCAATACTGCTGCAAAACGTGGCGCCGATTATGTTGAATTCGATGTTCAACTTTCAAAAGACAAAGTATATTTTTGCTTATTTAATTAGGATGTTTATAATATTTAACATGTCTTATCAAATTCGGAGATTTACGAAATTCCGTAGGAATCTATAAGAGATCAGTTGGCATCTTTTGGAACATAGAATATTATGTGAGAAATTTCGTGAAATTTTGTTAATGTTCATCTTTGACGGCAAACTTTCTGAAATTGTTACTCAAAAGAAGGTTATTGCGAATCTTAATAATTATGGAATGTTTGTGATTTATAGTAGGAATAGTGTAGTACATGAAAAATTGATTGATTTTATAGATCGCTGTTATATTTCACGATTTCCATGTTTTGGTTGCTGTAGCAAAGCGTCGCACTCCTCGCATCGAAGCGCAGCCCCCTGAAGCAGCTAATGATTATCATGAAATCGCTGTGAAAGATCTGCGGTTGAAACAGCTCCAGTTACTTCGCGTATGTCACTTAATTTATAAAAATAATTGTTGGACGTGTTTGCTGTTTTGTCTTAATGCTTTTTTATATTACTGGGATCCATGTAAACATGAGTCTACTTCATGCGAAGAAGTGATCCAAACAATTCGAAAAACTGGACAAGTCTTCTGATTGTCATTGAGCTTTTTTATAACCACTTTCTTTCGCTGATTACTGAAAAATATGAAAATGAAGTATTACGTTTTCCTTCTTGTCCCTGATTGCACATAATGAACAGAAATATTGAGATTCTCTTAATTTACATGTTTTTAAAGGAGAAAAAACTTTGTAGCTAGAGCATTATCAAGCGAATCAGGCTCAGACGAAGCAGAATTACACAAAGGTAAGTGCCGAAGCTGATGAGCAAGATGAACGTCTACCATTCCCGACCCTGGTAGATGCATTACGTCAAGTTGATTCATCTGTTGGCTTCAACATCGAAATAAAGTATCCAATGATGCAAAAGGTTTCTTGATTATATCTTATTCCAACAACAGAAAGGTTAATGATTATTAAAGGTCTGGAAAATTTAAGATTAGTAAGTATTGGAATATGATGCCTCATCTAATTCCGCATTTTAATATTTGTATTTATAGTCATCAGGGTATAGGGGTAAGAATTGTTGCTGAAGTGGGAGCTGCAAGATTTTTTTGTACAAATGCTGGTGAAATGTCGCTTTCAACATAGGAAAGCATAAAGTTTGGTAATGAAAGTAATGAAACTTTCAATATTTTCTCCAGAATGGATTACATGAGTGTGAAAATTATTTCGAGCGCAATGATTACATTGATATCATTCTCAATGACGTATTTAATAATGCTGGCGATCGTCGAATCGTGTTCTCTTCATTTGATCCTGACTGCTGTTCCCTGTAAGTTTTGTACTTTGAAAAAATTGCTACTCTTTTCTATTTATATAAGTGAAAAATATCTTTGTTAGAATTGTGTTCTAAAAAAATCTTTTTTCAATAAGTGAACAATCATAAAAATGAAAAAGAAACAGATATTTCTAAAAAAAAGCGCTAGTAGACAAAATTGTACTGCTCGAATTATTTAAGTAGATTTTTCAACAGATTAGCCTTCTCTTATTATATGCGATTTTCATTTCGTTTTTAATCTATTCATTGGATTCATGGTAGTGAGGTGAACAAACACTGAAGCTGCTGATCATCTGAATGAAGGTCATATTAGTAATATATTTTAGCGTATTATGTCTTTTATTTTATAACTGAGTACTTATCTCAGATTGGCGGCAAAGCAACATGTGTATCCAGTACTATTCCTTTGCGTTGGTGTCACTACGCGTTACGAACCGTTTGTTGATTTACGTTCGTCAACTTCTAATGCTGCTCTTAATTTTGCTGCTTGCATTGATATACTGGTAATCTGTTACTGTCCTTTCGTCGTTAATGTTGAAAATCTTATATCTAAATGCCTTCTCACTCTTTTATCATAGAAACTGTGCAATCAGTAGCAAAAATATCTGCGAATAACATTTGTGATTCCTGTACTTGATGGATGTTAAGTTCTTCTGGGGTTTTTGAAATGTTGCTTTTTACGGTGTTTCTTTACATAATTTTTTTTTTCAGAAATATAATTTGTTGTTAATTTTTTAGGGTGTGAATTTTCATACTGAAGATCTGTTAAGAGATCCATCACCCATACAACGTGCTCGAAAATTTGGTTTAATATCGTTCGTTTGGGGTGATGATCTCGATAGTAAAGAAAGTATCGATTACTTTAGAAAAACACTCCGCGTCGATGGTCTCATTTATGACAGGTGTGTTTCTGGAAATTATTATAAGCAAATTATTTTACAGAGCACTTGAAATGCCGTGAAGATAAGATGAATTGTACTAACTTTATATTATTGCAAAATGATCTGTACTGATTTATTTAGTCTTTGTTTTTTAGTTTTTATACCAAAGATTAGTAATGGTTTTTCGATCTTTATTTCTGTCCTAGGATTGGTGAAATCGAGGCACGTAAAAACGTTTTTCTGGTGGAACGTGAAACAAAAGCATCATTGTTTCGGCAGAGCAATTCGCCAGCCACATCTCGTACCGTTTCACTTGACAAGGGATCACCCTCACCGACTGTATCGGAAAATTCTCATTCCTCAGGGTCTACTGTTTCATCAAACAATGCTTTTTGTTTGCATTATCCACAAGCTTCTTTTCCATTTAGAAGAGCGTACGTTCTTTTTTTTCTTAGTCGTTATCCTTTTTTTCAGTGAAGACTCGATATAACTTCGAATTTATTATATATATTTTTATTGGTGCGAAAAAGTGAAATAATTTATTAATATTTATTCATATATCTGTTGCAATTGGGTGACCCTACATTCATTTTTGGTTTTAATTCCTAAAATCTCATCAAATCTAATCTGATATAAAAATGAATAATGTTGAAACATGGTGGAGCATATTTTCCGGAGTTTGCAAACCAGGTATTTCCATGTGTTTAAGTTATCGCTTCCTTATCTAACGGAGTAGACTAATTCAAATGATAGAAGGGTTTAATGGTTCACTTCTTAGCGCTCTTTTAGTGAGTGCATCGCTGACCTGGTTGTAGTTCCTCCATTGTAAAGATATATTTTATTGGATTGCGTAAAGTTCTCGTTTTCTCTTAATAGCTGTAACATTGCAGATGGATGATCCGAAGAAATATTATAATATTCATCAGCCCCTATCATTATTCATTAAGTCAAAACAAGAGATTATATGGGATTACTTTGCTGTAGCCCCATTCACACCCTGAGATTTTTTATACAAACTGAATGGAGAGTAGAAGAGTTGTCTGCCATCGTAGTATTTTAAGTGGCAAATTTCACCAAATTTCAATATTTTCAGCAAGTAAAAAGAGGAGGTAGTACTTCGATGGATACAACTTTTGTCTGCTTTTAGATCGGTCGCATTGGAAGATGTAAAAATGAACAAGAATAGTAATGAGATAAATGGAGAAAATCATTTTACGAACAAGAATAACAATGAGATAAATGAAGAAAATCATTTTACATCAAATTGTCTACATTCTACACCATATTCTTAGAAATCTTGTGTTTTCGATTATTGTTTTTCCCATTTTTCTTAAATACGTCGAACCATCGAGTAAATGCTTTATCCGAATTTTTAGTGTGTGGAGGGAGAGTGAAATTGGAATTTCAGTAAGCCTTCATAATAATAGCGGATTCACTAGTAAGTTTAAATTCGCGGAATACATTTAATGATCTTTTCACTCCTTTTTTTCTCACTTCTAACCTTTCTAAGGTTAACTTCCTTCGAATTTCGAGAAAAGTCCCTTTTTTTTGAGTTTTGGTTAACTCTTTGTTAAAGTAAAGTAACTCTGCTTCATAATTGCTTTTCGAACCATTTAGATGGATTTGCGATTTTTAGAAGTGCTGGAAAAGCACCAAGTGCTCGATAGGATCTGTGGTTTTTAGAAGTACTGGAAGAGCACTAAGTGCTCGATAGCTTTTGTATCTTGATATGTTTGTAAGATTGTCCCAGGTATTATATCTCTCTGATTTTGAATTTAATACGCTTATTTAGTAATTAATTTTTCCGTGGGACTTTCTGGATGCTACGCTTTTCATATTGTGTAAACATTTGTAGATGATATGTGTTTAAATCATTCCGTACGCGCGCACATTTTTACGTTCGTTTCTTTACTTACTTTTTATGAGATACTTGTTTATTAATTTCTGAATCTGAAATCTGAAGTTTTTTTCACTCAGGAGGTTTTAAATTCAATCATCTTGCTATATATACATATATGGGTGGCTACAAACTATTGACAATAATATAATTAAATTTTAGATTACACTAAATATACCCAAGATTTGCAAAGAAAATAGTAACTGTAAATGTTCAGTTCTGTGGATCTTCAACGTTGGCCTTTAATATATGTCTTTATTGCATGTATTTCTCGGTTTGTTCTTTTTCTTGCCAAGTTTTGCATATTCTTTCTAACATTCCAGCATAATCCGAAATGCCATTTCTATCAAAACGTACATTTGTCATTAAACCTCGAGGAAAAGTCGACAAGTTCCCACGTAGTAGATATGTTAAATAATTACTTTTAAGTTCCTGATCAAAGTCATTTTTGGACAAAAGACACTTTGTCTCTGATATTTTTAAATTTTTTCTCGTCTTTATTTTCTATATTATGTTCTACGCACTCAAGGTAGTGTTATTAGCGTTTAATATATGTAATGACTGTATACGCAATGTATGTGTAGTGCAGAATTTCGAAATGATTTTTTCAAATGTTGTGATATTTTTTGAAATGAAAAAAAGAGCACTTAGATAAAATCTTATAATCTGTAAACGTTGTTGCTTTCTGAGACGAATTTACATATATACAAAAAAAGGTTGCATCAAATGTTTTAGGGTCATTTTCTGATAATATGAGGGAATGATGAAGTGCTTCAAGTCATGTAGTTTGGATGTTAATGAATTTTTATACAATAATTTTTTGTACAATAACGGGTAGACAAGCCGGTATTGCCTTCTCTTTTCTGCAGGTTTCACTCATTCACGATTCTAATTTAGAGTTCAAGGAGTCGAATGATCTGTGTAAGATATATTAGACCTCCTACTATACTGTGGATAATGTCGTGCTCAAGAACCCATTATTTAGGAGACTTCGCTGAATGGGGCATGTTCATCTCATGAGCCATATCTGTGTGTTTGAGCTTCTTTATCGTCGTAGATGACAAGGAGAAAACAAATTCCCGGAGACTGAAAAAGGCTCTAAATACCGGCTTACAAACAGCGGGACAACCCCTCAGCACTTCTGATGCGATAAGCCACAAGCTTTAATTCGGAGTCGTGAAGTTGATGCATCATTTTGATGCGGAGTCATTGTGACATGGACGATTTCACTATAAAATAATTCATTGATGTTAATATACAATGGATCAAACATTTCCAGTATATCTAATTTATGTATTTCTAGTTCATTTCTGGTTTTTAAATGCTTCGCATTTTCCAAATATTTTATTGAAGTAAATATTGAGAGCGATGATATGACGGCGGTGAGAATTTCGGATTTTTGAAGGTGGCAAATCAAAATTTTGAGGGAAGTATTAAGCTTTATAGCAAGATTATGCTTTATGGTTGAATGCTTGATGATTTCTCAATGGTAATATGAACTATTCTTACAATAATAATTATATCAGGAAGAGAGATGTCAACCCACGGAGTGAACATTAAACCAATCAGTAGTAGCGACTCTTCAAATCCAATTAGGAAAAAAGTGGAATCATTGGTTTCTCAAAAACTACACACCGATCAGGTACTCCAGAAATTTCTGTCTGCAATACGCTATAATTCTAGCTATGAATTTTTATGTGGAAATACGTTCTCTAACTTTATTTGATCATTCTGATGAATTCCATAGCTGCAGATATGTTGTTAATGTCGATTTTTATGGTTTATTAACGCTTTATTAATGTTGTCCCTTGGAAACTTTATCTGATATTAGAAAACTCATAAGTCAAAAGTTGCGAGATTGAAGATTTTGGAAATACTGAAAGTAATATGTTTGTCTTGAGTGCAACAGTACATGCAGAGGTAACCACCGAATCCTCTTAGACTTTTCAGGTCTTATTTAAAATAAGAAGTTGGATGATGCATCATCATATCGCTATATTGTCTCGTTTCCTTTGTTTCAGTCCGGTTTTTTTAGGACTTTATGAGAATGATGGATTATATTGCACCAATGGTAAATGAAATTGATATTCATGTGGAACGAAGATTGATGTACAAGTTAGAGGAACAAAAAATTAAAGCAAATCGGGATTATGTGAAATCTTTTGGACTGGTAGTTGTTTATCATTTTAGCTGCCTGCATTTTTCATTAAACTTAGTTTATTATTGACATAATCTGACAAAACTTAGTTTATTGTCAATGATCATTTCTTCCTCTTTTAATCCCATTATCAGCAGTTTTTAATTATGGCGATGATGAATGAAGGATAACGAGGGATATTAGTAACAGTAACACGAATTTAATGGAAAAGGTTTTGAGAGAAATTCCAAGACTTTCTCTTGGCAATGGCTGGCGTGACAAAATAAAGGAAATGTTGCAGGTAAATGATCGAGTACAAGATTTCGCGTCTAAAGTTAAGCAGTTAAATAGTATATGTCAGGATATGGCGAATAAAATACAGTCAAATAAAGCAAAAACACAAGATTTGTTAACAAGAACTGCTGCACTGCAAAGTGAAAAGTAATTTCTTCAACA